GACTCATTTCCATATGTGATAATGACTTTGCTCTTATATGTGACAATGTATTGTGCCAATACACGTATTTGGATGTTTACAGTAATACTGTCAATAGACGCAGATGTGCTTACACTATATGGCACTGATGAAGGGTTGATCACGAAAGCATTTGCACTTTATTGAACCTTTTTGTGGCTTCTGTAAATTTGAAGGTAAAGATTTTTATTTCTGGAGAGAATTTTTGTGTCCATTCTTTTCATTAGGTTATACCAGTTAAATAGTATTTTGCAGAACAAGGACAAATTTGATCATTCAAGAAGGAACGTATTAACCTTGAGGGCCTGAAGGAAGAATATGATATGGTTCTCTTGCCATGTAACAAAAGGGTTTCCTGCGTTGACGCTAAACAACTTGTTAAAGATTTAAAAAAAAAAAAAAAACACTAAACATTTTTTTTTCAAAATATTAATAATTTAAACCAAAAGATCATGCCAAACTACTTAAAAGTTTTCCCCAAGGATTTTACACCCTCATTTTAAACCCCACAAAAATATTACAATTAATTTGAACAAAAAAAAAATAATAATTAATATTTTAATAGAAATGTCTCACATCACTGAGCCACTATTGTTTGTCTTTTTTACAGGTATGATCGCATTGACGAGGACGCTGGTGCTTTACCCACAGGTCATGGCTGACCACCCTTTTTTCTTCGTCATCAGAAACAGAAAAACAGGTACGTGCCATCTTCAAAAACCCATGACCATGAACACAAATTGACTAAGCGATGACACGTTTTTTAGGCCCAAACATTTTTTGTCGCATACAACAAACATCTCCTCACTATCGGTCACTGCCTGTCCCCTAAACACACTGTAAAAAAATGCGGTCTATGCAGACAACCCAGGCTCCACAAATGGCAACAAAAACAAACTGCGCCAACCCGCTCCACAAAACATAACAAACTGTTCTAGCCAATAACTGACAAGAAGGTGGGGTCTGGGGGGTCAGTGCACAGATGAAGTGGATGGAGGCCGGGCCTATCTAGCCTCTGTTTTGTTTGAAAATACTTTAAATGTCAACAAGAATATTTAAAGTGGACTATCAAAATAAAATGTTACCAAATATTATCCATTTGAAAATAACTGTTTTATATTTATTCCTGTGGCGGCAAAGCTGAATTTTCAGCATCTGGTCTTCAGTGTCACATGATCCTTCAGAAATCATTATAATATGCTGATTTGCTGCTCAATAAACATTTTTTTATTATAAATGCTGAAAAGTATTATACTTGTTTCAGGTCCAAAAATACAAAGTGTACATAAAAGTATTCGTTTCTTTAAAAAAAAAAATAAATAAATAAGTAAAAAATGTACTGACCACAAACTTTTGATTGGTATTGTAATGTGTATAGATGAAGCATAAATCTTATTTTAGAATTGTGCTTTTTCTGTGAATGTTGTCAATTGTGCTGTTAATGAATTGTTTTTTTTTTGTTTTTTGTTTTTTCTAATAGGATCGATCCTCTTCATGGGCAGAGTTATGAATCCTGAAGTCATCGAGCCCTTTGACAACAACTTTGACATGTAAAAGCCCAGCAATCACAACTTGACACTCAGCCGAGTTCATGCTTATCTTCTACCAACCACGAGTTACATCACAGAAAGCAAACTCATTACTTTGCCATGGTTTTCTAAACACACAGGAAAATATTATATAAACAAGATATTTATATATTATGAAAGTGATTGTGTTTTGATACTCATAAGCTTTAACCGTACCAGGAAACACAGTGCTGTAAATATTTGAAGTCGCCCAGACAGCAAAATAGTGACGGCCCAGATACGGCCCACATCTGGTACGCGTTGAATCCGCATGTACTAGATTTGGCCCGGATCTGGCCCACACTATGCAGTCACTCGATTATATGTATTCACATTCAATCGCATCTTATTCCGCACCAGCATAATTCGTTCCTGTAATTCCTGTATTTCTTCTCTTGTATATTTGCTATTGTGTTACGTAGAGAAAACGTTGATATTTATTGCAAGGATTTGTGCACTTCTCTATATGTAGACTCACTTAAGGTCTTTTATTTCCCCCTCACCACCTTTGTTTGGTTTTGTACATGGCTGAACTACTGCTGACATACTAATATGCCTTATTATATAAATATGAGTTTTTGATTTAATGTAAGGTTGCGAATGTACAGGTAGTGGAGCGCTGTTGCCATGGAGACTCAGGCAGACCAAGAGAGAGTGCATTTGGTATAAATGATGAACAAAAATACCAGCTGTATTCTCTATTTCAGAAATAAAGATGAATGTCTTCAACTTGTCGTCTTGTGTTACTTCAGTGACAGAAGTTTTAAAATTTCAGAATTGATCTAAAATATATACAGAAAAGCCTTCCTGCCTATGGTTTCACACACTGCCAGCACACACTTTTAATGTCTAAAATGAATTCTATTGAAAATTTTAACAATCAACTTCAAAGACACGCAACATTTATTACTTTACTGACAATAGATGCACTTACAGTATGTTGGTGGAGTTTTTGTAATGTAAATGTAAACAGTCAGGTTAGTAACATTTAACAAATGTCTATTTGATTATTACAGAGATTATATGCAAAATGAGAGAAGGTGCTCAAAGCAGTGTTCAAACAGAATAAAACATCTATTTTAAGACCAACTCTATTGAAACTACTTCATGTGTTATCACAATTTAAGTTGCTTGCAGAGAAATCTTACAAATGAACAAAGTATGTTGCAGAAGATCCCAGCCATGATGAAGACAATTCGTTCTTGTGTAGTCTAAGCACACTATCCACTGTAAGTGTGATTTATGGCCACTGCCATAACCTGCTTTATTAAAGCTGGAGCTCTGTGTTTGCTTCTGAAACAGCACTTCCCTCACTTTAGCATTACCCTATAAATCCAAGTCTTGAACCACCCTGGTGACCACTCCTGTCGACTTCTGCAACCATTGCTCACACTTCCCGCAAGTACCTCTTACTGCTGCCTTGTTGTTCTTGAGCGTTGCATTTTCCCCAAGGCTTTTAACAGGATTATTTGTGATGTTTGGGATTTGGTAACCACTATCGAGAATCTAAATCTGAGACTCTTATCTGAGACCCCTTCCTCTGCACTACAGATCTTGATTTGCAGGCTTAAAATACATCCTTGCCCACTTCATCAGCCTTTCTAGCCCCTTCAAAATTCAGCACCTGGTACCTAAAGTTAGAATGAATCAGTTTTGTAAACAAATCAGTTTATTGGATAATTCACTTATAAAGATTTTTACTTGTCGCCACCTTGGTTCACCAATATCTTGCAGAAAAAGTCATACATACAATTACATGTTACAAATCATGATAAAATGGATCATCTTTTATAAGACATTTAACTTACAACATTTTATCATTCTATCTTATAACTTTGATAATTGCCATCATCTTTTAAATCTAAGATAGAGATCAAACTACATTTAAAAAAAAAAAACACCCTTGAATTCAGAGTAAGAGTAAATTATCGTACATTTACATTTAGTCATTTATCGTGTCTGACAGACTGCTGTGTCCAAAATCTCCACTCAAACTACTCCCTACCCCCTATGTAGGAGATAGGCAGTAGAGCACTATAAAGTGAGCTCACCAGCATAATAGAAACGACACTTTCAGACACTACTCGATCGCCTCTCGGCGCCATTGATTGCGTCATTGCTGTCACCCGTCCTCCATTTTTACATCAGCGCAATGCATGATGGTATAGGGCTTTGGTTAGTGACCATCGGTTGTACACTCCTTTTCAAAATGCATTCTGGGATACATTGAGTGGACTATATAAGGTATAATAATCATCACTATACATTCGGACAGCACTACAAAATGGCGAGCTCACTATATAGTCCAGTGAGTAGTGGGAGATTTTGGACACAGCCTGTGTGTTGAAGCCACTCAGGCCTATACCAATAGCCTAGATAAAGTTGATACATTTTTGTTGTTGCTATGGACTAAGTTGACAAGAGTGATGTAGAAGTACTGTAAAGCTTACACTGGCGATGCACCTGAGAAAACAGATCTCAAGTGATAAAATTTTCAGCAGTAAAATGAATTTTCCCCAAATCTAGTCTGTGGGGTAAAACCATACATATCTATGGGTAAAACGCTTCCCACTACCATACAACCTGTGGTTTTCCATCAAATATGGAATTATGGTGGTTGAATACAAATATTTGGACATAGCTAATATTTAAAAATCCCCTGATTCCCCTCCATTTCAGGGGATCAGATAGCTAGTTAACAATATTTCTCAAATAGGCTGATTGTCAGCATGGTCCATTACAGTAATAGCCTAAATATTCATATATATCTTTTATAAGCGAATATTAAGCAAAAACTGCATGTACTCTGATTTTTCTGTAAATGTATAAAGCAAATTGCTTTATTCAGAATGGGAGCATTTTATCACACACACACTGATACTTTCCCCTCTCTATAGTTTATTTAGGCTAAATGGTGTGACAAATTCATTTTCATAAGTACAAATCTCAATATGACAATGATGACCACATAATATATATAAATATATATAATATATGACTTTTAGTGAGGTTTTATTGAGGTTTTATTGATGAATGATGAATGAATGAATTGATAGATAGTTGTATTTGAGTGACTAATTATAACATTTTTTATATTGTATATTTTGTATTGTAATTCACCTGCTCGGGGACTGCAGATGGAAACTAAACTAGCTTAAGCTAAATCTGGTGCAAAGCATCTTTAACTAATGTTTTTTTGCACATTGTCCCTGTTGAAATAAATAAATAAATGAAATGAAATAAAAGGGGTATTTCTATACTGCATTTACCAAAAGTCACTGAAGTGCAACTTTAGACACACTGCTGGCCTAGATGACCTCCGTGCGCAGATCACTGAAGCTGACGCTGCTGCGCGCATGCGCAGAGCTCACATTCACCTGTCGCACTTTAGCACACTATTCAATTCATCCAGCATCAATGGGAAACCGCACTATATTCCTTGTAAATAATACTCTTCACTGCATCTCAAATGCCAAAGGGATCTGTCAGAACCTACGGACATGTCCGAAAGGTAGGAGAAGTTTTGAACAGCTGCTGTTTTTTTTCTTCTTCTCTTTTTCTGTTCACTGTCTGGAACAAAAACGCATAATCAGCTGGCTTTTATTTTAGATCTGTCTGCTTCAGTCAGGTTTGGAAGGCTGTTTATAGTTACTTTGCTGCATAGTTTATGGGAATTGTCACTGGTATGCATATAAAGCAATTCTATTCGTGGGCTAAATAAGGTTTATGTAATTATAATATTGTCACAGTTATTAAGATATTATTAAAACATATGGCATGTAGTAATCTATGTCCATGTTACAAATATTTAATGATAATCACTAAGTGAAAATAATGTGTATTTACAAGTAGCAGGCAGCTTCACAAAACCTGCGCCTCATCAATGGCCATCACAGCGTTAACGTGAGCACATCTTATACTGATATAATGTGCGGGTGTGCTCGGGTGGCGTGGGTGACTTTAATCCGGATCAGGGTGCAGAGTTCACGGTAATCTACACCAGAACCTCAGCCCGGCGGATGTAAGGACGCACGGGCTCTTATTACACACAGAGGATGTGTCTCAATGCCCGCTGAGCTCCCTACACACTGTAGGCAGCACATTTTGGGCAGCGTAGGTGTTCTATCGAATCTATGAACTAATTTCTATAAGGATGGTGTGTCATATGATAAATTAAGTGGTAGTGTAATATGATTGTATCGAATGAATAAATAAATGAACAAACGAACAAAAGGAGGAAGTATATAAAAAAACAGTTGCAGTAGCATATGTTGAACGGAATTTACTAAATTGAGCTGGGCATTTCCTAGTTAGTGTGGTGGATGTGTATATGACTTCTTTAAAAAAAAAAAAAAAAAAAATTAGTAGGTATATGTCATTAAAAACATTATTTATGTGTATAAAGCTTATCATAGCAAGGTAATGTGAAGTCAAATAGCTATACAATCATAATGTAATTGGAATGTTAGGCTGAAGTAATGTTTGTTAATGACCTCAGTCTCTCTCTGTCTAGTTCCTCTGGAGTGAACACCAGCAGCGAAAGTTTTCCGAAGTCTCACTCGCACTACTCTGAGTTAAGCGACACACACACTCCTTTCTCTGTGGAACTGACTCCAGACTCTGGCATTGTTGCCACACCAGTAAGCCACTTCAAAGTCAATATGATTGCAAAGTATCATGTGTGGTTTGATTGACACCTTATTTGTCTATACTATAAGGACATTGAATGTTGTCATTACGTTTATTTTGTGTAGTTGCCATCCAGCCGGTTCAGGTTTGCCTCGTGGCACTGGCTCGAGGAACATGATGTCCGCGGAGACCAGCTCGCCTGTCCCAGGGTCAGAGAGGGTAAGAGTCCATTCTGGGTCACTATACATTTACAGGGTTTTTTTTTTGTGTGTGTGTGTGTGTGTCATATAATCATTGGACACAGACAATCAGTGATGTCATCAAACAGGACCTGCTGAAGACGAGCTGTCTGTTAACATTGAAGACATGTTTCTCAGAGGAGGCAGGAGGAAGAGGAGAGAGGATGAAGAACAGAAATGGGAGGAGAGACTTCAGGAGAACTGGGAGAATTGTGTGGTGAGACACCAAACGAGCATCCATCCATCCATCTATCTATCTACATTCATCTATTTATCTATCTTTTGAACTTGTATCACGATTTGAAAATGTTTGAAACGGTTTTCACAAAAATAGCCTATTAATCAGCATAACTTTTTTCAACACCGCTTATAATAAGAAATGTTTCTGTCGCTTTGGTGCATTTCTCAGATCAGAAATGAAATTTTTAAAACTACTTGCTCAACCTCCACATCTCATCTAGTCACTTGTGGGCATCATAAAAGCAGTTTCTCATTCTTTTGAACAAGTTGTGATTGCTTTAGTAAATTCATGCAATTATGTACAATTGTCTGCGGTTTCCTACAGTTGCTAATGCCATGTTGCTCAAAATGTATTAAATAGTTCTCTGTGCAATAGTCTTACTCCTTTAAAACATAGTCATCAGTTCATCATATACGTATAATTAAATGCAAAATGGTTGTCTAGTTGTCATAAATCATATTTTCTACACATTTCTATTAGACTTTTTGTAAATGTGCCATGAATTGATGAATTGTGCAGGTGAATCTTGACTTTCACTAATGGAGAGAAGGTCAAACAACGAAAAACCAGTTCTCTAAAATAGCTCAAAGTTGCGTCTCATGAACCTTCAATTGGCAAGCATATATAGTGCATGCAAAAGCATATTTCTGCCTAAGCGATCTTTCGTGTTTGCCTTTCTAATGTTGCATTTTCGTCTTTGTGCCCCATTACTTTGACTTTTCTACAGTATATCACAATAATATAGTATTTTTTTTTAAACTGTAACTGTGAATCCTATCCAGTCTTTTTCAGTCAATAACTCACATACAGTTGTACATTTGAAATGGATATATGGCATACAGAAGAACCATAACTTTGAACATTTCAATACAGTTACTGTCATCCAAACTGTTGCCATAGTTTACATCAGGTAATGCTATCAGAATGCAGTGTTTTATTGACAACAAGCATTTTGACTATCTTGTTTGTGAACAATGACACAAGCACTTTTCATTCTGATGGCACTGATATGTTCATTGACATAAATACTTACTTTTGACAGATGAACTAAAGATTTTAGCTGTTTTTACAAATTGTTTTGAGAATGCACATACTTCTTTGCAAATTTTAAGGATGATTTAAGAAATGCACCGAAGCGAATGAGAAAACCGGTAGAATGATTTCTGAATGGTCATGTGACACTGAAAACTGATGCTTAAAATTCTATCTATCCAGCTTCGTATTGCATTCAAAGTTCTGTGTCTGTGACTGCAGGTGCTGAACTTGTCTTATCAGGACCTGGGAGATCCATACCAGCTGGAGAACTTCATCCGCATCCTGAGGAGACTGATCCGGGTGGAGCGTCTGCAGTTGGTGGATAACGCTCTGGGGGATCTCAGCTCTGTCAGACTGCCAAGGTACCAAACTAACCTTTACAATGTAATAACTGCAAGATAGTGGACATGAAGATAACTCTGAGTACTGATGACACTGTCATGAGTTGGGATGGAGTGCAGATCTGGTTGGTTATAACACAAATTCCCCTTGATCTTTCAATGGAGGCTGTCCTATTGTATTGCATTAGTTGTTTTGTAACAGTATGTGTATGGCTGTGTAAAAATACATGTAGTGCAACTTAAGCTGTGTGCTGTAATCTCATATGAGGAGTTTATTTTACAGTAAGAAGGAAACTGTTAATTATGTATCAGCATAAAACTCAGCCTCTTTAATCACATTATTTTATTTGAAAATCGGTCTTATTATACTGAATTATACTGCTTGCTATAATATTTTATCATTCACAAAATTTTTAGAGTGAGTTATTTGTGAGTTATACGAGGCAGAACATTGTAACGCATTACAATCACTGACAAAACTTGTGATTGAGAATGTGCATGTGTTATAGATGTAAAATCCTGAATCTTCACCGGAACAACTTGACGTCCATTCGTCAGCTGCCAAAGGTTCCTGAGATCCAGCACTTGTGCCTGTCTGAAAACAGTATTTCCTCTCTGGGCGAGTTGTCTCTGCTGAGGAGTGCGCCGCTCCGATCTCTGACCCTCAAATGCAACCCCTGCCAGTTTCAGGAGGATTACCGCTCACGGTGAGAGAAATCTTTTACTTTATTGGAATGATATGAAACTTGGCAAAGACCCTTGCTATGGACATGATTCAAAAAGCTTAAATGGTCCTGAAAAAAAAAAGATAGTCACACTTGTACTGTTCCAACGCATTCTCATCCCAAGGTGTCGCTTTTGCCAATGCGTATACATCCAACGCACATGGCACCCTTTAGCGTCAATATAACACGCTTCGGTTAAGGGTAGTTTTAGTTCTGGGGTAGGGTTAGACCCATGGGCGGAGTGGGACCAAAAAATCTACCGGGAAATTTCGTAGACCACCGGCCCTCGTCGCCGGCAGGATTTTACAATGCATTGTACAATGCTGGAGTAAAGTTCATAAACGGTCGTTCTTTCCCATAGGAATTTGTAAAACTGTGTTGGGTGGACTCTATGCCTCTAGGGGAGTTCGAGGGCATGTCCCCCTTGCAAGAATTTTGTACATTTTAAGGTTAAATGCATCAATCTTGTGCTCTTTGAGAGATCAAAATTTAGAGCTTCAAGAAAATGCATTGATTTGTACCAGGACAATAAAGAGGGCTCAAACATCTTTTTAGTTATGAGAGTCTCAGTCTGCAATACATTATCAATGGTGTTTTAGGATGCCAAACAATTATTAGAATAATGTAATAATGATTTCTATGACGTAAAATCCATTTAGCCTATAGACCATTTCAAAAGATGTAAACAACACTGGTCCAGAAACACTTCCTGTTTCAGTTTGTAACTGTTTTCTTTATTTCACATGTAAAGAAAACATCTTAAAGATGTTTGTTTAACTTTTTGATTCAATTTTAAATGTTCTGTTGGTTGTATTTTATCCCAGCTTTTATGTAGTGTTAAAAACTGAAACAGGAAGTGCTTCTGGACCAGTGTTGTTTACATCTTTTGAAATGGTCTATAAATGTACTATATAAATAAAAATGAGTATTTCAAAAGTATATTTTAGCCTACATTACACTACAATATAGGAAAATAAAAATACTTTTGTCATATTTCTTCACTTGCAAGAAATAAATGCTGATCGCGAGAGCAAAGTAATCACGCAGCACAAACAGGATGCTATTCTTAAAGTCTTTGTGCTGTTTTATAAAGGCACAAAGCCATATCATGGTTTCAATTTTAGTTTGTTGGCAAAATATAACGCTAGAGACCTTAATGTTAGGTTATACATTTTACATCTTTACATATGTGTTGTGTTGGGGAAAGGGAGATAAGAGAGTTCGGCAAAAGGCGGATTCGAACTCGCGTCGAGCACATCAAAACCTGCTTTCAAGCACCTCACATCCTACGTCCTATACGCCACTGTAGCCATTTCGTAATGGCCGTCTTTTTGCTATAAAGACAGGCACTTAGTGCAAATATATGCTCCGTTATAGAAAATGTTTAATCTTGCCCTCGCTTGGGCCCCAAGTGCGCATGGCAAACTTGCAATAAATAAATTTTATCAGGCCCTCGCGGCCTCGAAACACTACCGGCCCACCGGGAAAACTTCAGGCTCTCCCGATTGCCACTCCACTTCTGGTTAGACCACTAGGAGGCGCCTTCTGGCCCATATGTATCTGCGTCTCATATTGACGCTAAAGGGTGCCATGTGCGTTGGATGTTAAAGCGTTAGTATATGGCGCCTTGGGATAAGAACGGGCTGACTGTTCATAGTTGAAAATGACCGCACTGGAAAAAAATGGGAAGCGAATTTCAATTAGTGGAAATGTTTGGTACTGCGCCCTAACAAAATCTAACTAAAAGTTTATTTTTTGAGAAATCAACCTCAGATTTGGAACACAATTTGTGTAGATTTATGGCTTTGATTTTCTCAAAGTTTTAGAGTTTTTTTTGAAAAAAAAATGTATTTTATGTATAAAGAGTATTTGTATGCATTTTCATAATAATAAACTTATTTTAATAAAACTTTTTTTTGTTTCAATTTTACTTTTTTTTTTTTTTTTACTTAAACCATAATCTGCTAAGTGTCCTCTTTAAAAAAAGAAACCAAAGTCTGTGCTCCAATTAAAATATTTGAATTCTTCAAAAGAAGAAAGTTTGAAGAACATGGGCAACTCATGGACCTCATTGACTTCCATAGTATGGGGGGGGGAAATACTATATGGAAGTCCTTTGGGTCCCATGAACCGTTTAGTTACCAACATTCTTCAAAATATCTTCTTTTGTGATCAGAAGAAGAAAAAATTAATTCAGGTTTGTAACATTTTGATGACAGAATTGTCATTTTCTATTATCCCTTTAACTGTGTAAAGAAACATGAAAAGTGTTTTGGAAATACCCTAAAGTGGTCTTTTATTTCATCATAATATATCATCTGCAAGTACATATTTTTAAAAATATACTTTTAAGATTTAAATTGCACATTTACAAGTGCACATTTAACACAGTTAACCACACTTCTTTTCCACAAGGGTATATAAGCACTGAGCTTTTAATAACTTGCTGTCAAAACAGTGGATTGATTAAAACTAATCAGCTAATTACAGCTTTTAATTATTATAAAACACCATAGAGCATAATTTGTCTCAAATCACATTATGCCTCAAGTTATTAGCTATGCCAGAAGATATAATTTACTAAAAAAGAGCTGACCAAAGATGTGATGGTTCATTTCAAGTGTTCATTAGGGAGCCAAGTCTCACCTTAAAGTCTAACCTTGAGATTTGTGCCGTTTCCTCTGCAGTGTGTTCTTCTGTTTGCCAAAACTTCAAGTTCTGGATGGCATTCCAAAGCTACCGGAAGATTCCGTGCCTCCCTCCTCACCAGAAGCATCCAGATTTTGTACCATTCTCTGACATCGAAACAGCAGAACCTGAAGCCAAAATCTGAATCCAATGTACTGTACTGTCAGAGTGAACTGTGAAAGCTCATAAATGCACTTGTATATAGTATATGTATATTGTATATAACTACGATACATTTTTAATGACTTATTAAAGCTATTTTTGTACCTGTACATTATACTTACATTTCATCTACTCCTGCATCAATTTAAGACAGCAGCAGCCAATATATGAATTAGAATAGACTCAAAGCACGGGAGGGATACATATAAAATGGATCATAGTGCTTCTGTTGTATTTTGACTGTTTAGGTCTCAGTATGTCAGCTGCATGTAATTCTGGCTATTTGGTTGCTCAATGACCAGCCAATTGGCTTTGTTAGTTCACACTTTATCCTGATGACTGTTTTGACAGGCGAGTCCGTTCGGTATTGCTTGAAGCTTGGCTAGTGTGAAGAAAGGGCACAGAGATTAAATCAGATACAGTCATGTGACACTGTGGTTACCAGCAGATAAAACTGATGATGTCACAGCCAAGCGTTTCATGTTCTCACAGGCTAATGTGGACAGAGGCATATGAATAATATCCTAAATTTAAATTAAATCTGTGTTCGTGGTCATGTAAAGATTGAGCCTCGTTTTTTGGACGTCATCTCCTTTATATGGAAGCTTTTTTCTACCAAAAAAGATATTTGTGACTTTTTATCTTGCAATTCTGACTTTTTTCTCAGAAAATTGTGATATAAACTTGCAATAGCAAGTTAAAGTCAGAATTGTGTGAAATAAAGTTAGAGTTTTTTTCTCACAATTCTGACTTATTTTCTCATAATTGTGATATGAAGAAGGCGCAATTGCGTGTTATAAAGTCAGAATTGCATTGTAAAGTTATAGAGAGATATAAACAATTCTGACTTTATAACACGCAATTGCACCTTCATATTACAATTATGAGAAAATAAGTCAGAATTGTGAGATAAAAACTCAACTTTATTTCACACAATTCTGACTTTAACTTGCTATTGCAAGTTTATATCAGGCAGAGATGATAAAACTCTGCAATTGTGAGAAAAAAAGTTTTTGTGATAAAAATTGTGAGATAAAAGTCGAAATTGAATTATCCTTTTACTTTTTATTCATTAGTGGAAACAAGCTATATAGACAAACATAATTTTTTAAACAGATATAATCAGCACATAATATGTGTCCATTTTATAGTGTTTATGTTTAAAAGGGTAAAATTTAATTTTAAAGTTTTGCAAATATAGCCGCAAATTGCTAGCACCTGAAGAAGTAACCATAGGAACAGTGGCCGCTTGTATAGACCATTTCACAAGATGTAAACAACACTGGTCCATCCTGTTTCAGTTTTTTAACACTACAAAAAATCTGGGATAAAATACAACCAACAGAACATTTAAAACTGAACCAAAAAGTTAAACAAACATCTTTAAGATGTTTTCTTTACATGTGAAATAAAGAAAACAGTTACAAACTGAAACAGGAAGTGCTTCTGGACCAGTGTTGTTTACATCTTGTGAAATGGTCTATTGGCTGATCAGCAAAACGTACGAAGGTTACTATCATTATTTATCATGGATAACAAAATACACAATACAATTACATACAAAATGCACAATACATTTAGTATTTTTTTAAGAAATGTTGACGTTTAGCTAAAACATTGTGTGCGACATAAACCTCAATTGATAGCGCTATGCCTTGAAAGCTCATTCGCACACTGGTAACCACTGCATAAAGCGTTCCCATTCAAAAGCCATTCATCATGACCCACCATTGTCCTCTTAAGTTTAGCCTATCTTTTCAGCGACAATCACTAATTCATATGTGCTTCAGTGTTTTGTTTTAATTTTGGTGTCAATTTCAGTGCACTGAAACCTGAGCTGAGGAGACAGTGCGTGGGAAAGCAAAGAACAGAGAAACGTGAGATATGACAACATATAGGCCTTCTACAGCTTTTTAAATCTGTGAGGCAGCTTTGTTTGTCAGCAGTCCTCTGCTTCCCTACAGTAAGCATTTTTTTCCAGCGTTTCCTGAAGGATTTATTACAGCTCCCTGAAATGATAACACAAAAATGCAGAAATGCTAGCCAAGTCCCTTCTTGTTTCACATGACTATAAATAAGAGGTAACACAAAGGCCAAATTCCCTTAATCATCCATCATAAGAAAAACCAAAGAATATAGTTCTGTACAGCAAAGGATTGTTAAAGGGTTAGTGAAAAAATGAAAAGGTCCCACTTTATATTAAGTGGCTTTAAGTACCATGTACTTACATTTAAATTAATAATTTGATACAATGGACTTATTGTGTACATACATGTTTTTACATTGTACTTATATTTAAAAAATACCAGCATGTAATTACAGCCGTAATTAATTTATGTAATTACATCTGTAATTACACAGCTGACCCATCCCTTACACTTAAACCTACCCTTAAACCTACCCATACCACCACACCTGTCCCTAACCTTACCTGTATCCCACCTCAATAGCACCAAAAGTGATTTACAATACAACATGAGCACAGTAAGTACATTGTACTTATTTTTAAATGTAAGTACATAGTACTTAAAGCCACTTAATATAAAGTGGGACCAATGAAAATTCTGTCAGTATTTACTCACCCTCATGTTGTTCCAACCCCGTAAGACCTTCGTTCATCTTCGGAACACAAATTAAGATATTTAAGATATTTAAGATATTAAGATCGCTCCTGCATACAGTCCGTAGGCTTCTTGAGGGACTGGTTCTTGCTGTCCCTGAAAAGTCATTAAAGACATCGTTAAAATAGTCCAAGTGACTACAGGTGCTCAATCTTAACTTTATCAAACGACGAGAACACTTTTGTGCGCAAAAAAACAACAAAAATAACTACTTTATTTCAACTATTCACTTCCTTCTCCATGGGCCTGTAGTCAGTTAACGTAGTGTGATTGCGTAGAGCTACGTCACACGGAGGCTCACTATTGGCCGACGCTGGTCATGTGTGTGTGATGCGTGTGACGTACGATAACAGAAGCTTACGCTATTAAACTAGTAACCTGACTCGCGCAGAGGGAGAAATAAACCAATAGTTGAAATAAAGTCGTTATTTTTGTTGTTTTTTTGCGCATAAAAGTGTTCTCGTCGTTTGATAAACTTAAGATTGAGGCCCTGTAGTCACTTGGACTATTTTAACGATGTCTTTAATGACTTTTCGGGGACAGCAAGAGCCAGTCCCTCAAGAAGCCTACGGACTGTATGCAGGAGCGATCTTAATATCTTAAATATCTTAATTTTTGTTCCGAAGATGAACGAAGGTCTTACGGGGTTGGAACAACATGAGGGTGAGTAAATACTGACGGAATTTTCATTTTTGGGTGAACTAACCCTTTAAGCTTCACAAATTGGAAAACAACTACAACTGCTTTTCTAACAAATTGTTAGAAAAGCATAGAAAATTCCCATTTCCATTAGCAGGACAATAATTAAGAAGTTCCAATCAACTAAAGAAGTTACAAATCTGCCTGGAAGAGTTTGAATTTATTGAAAGGATAACCTTTTGAGAAGAGACATCTCATTTTCGAGGGTGTCCCAAGAATACATACAAAGTTACAAACTACAATACAAAATACAACACATTTAAAGCAATTAAACAACAAAAAATCACTTAAACATCTTCAAAGTCTAAAACTGTTTTAGACAAACAGGAGCATGTACACACAAGAGGCGAACAAACTGTACCTGCACCATAAATAAATAAATATGATAAACAGGATAATTGGTGAGTGTTGGTATTGCTTAAACATGAGCAGGTTATTTGCAGATGAGTAAATAGATTAGTCCTAAAGAAGGAAAGATGTGATTGATCCAAGAAGAGAAGGGAGATTGTTCCAGTCAAAAGGAGCTTTGTACTGGAATGACCTGCGGTCGATTTCAGTAAAAATTCTCAGGACACAGAAAAATGGATGCTGCATGTGTCGAAAGGGAGGAAGATGTAAATGGAACCAAAAGCTGTTTTAAGTAAGAAGGGAAATTAAAATGAACGCATTTAAAAAGAAACTGGAACCAGTGATATTGCCTTCGGGATTTTAGTTGGAGCCAATCAAGAGTTCCATACAATGGTGGGCTCTGTAAGGACATCTCAATGCAAACCTACATAAAGAATCGTGAATGACATTTAGAGGTTTTAAATTGGTATCTGAAGTGTTTTGGTAAATTATGTCTGCAGTCAATGATAGGAAGAATTTATTGGGAGATTAATCTTTTTCTGACATGAATTGAAAAACAATGAATTGAGCGATAGAGTACATAAGCAACCATATGATTGTATGGCTTAAAGGAGAGTTCGAGGTCCAGCAAAAGACCAAGATATTTAAATAGATTAACTTCAGTGAGGAGTGACCCGTCATTAAAAGTAATATCTAAATCAAAGTAATGATTTAGAACTCATTTAGATTAGTAACTCATCTAAAAACAAACTCCAGCATATTTAGTTGTCAGACACTTCTGAAATTTTAAAAGGGACAGAATTTCTATGGATTTTATGGTCAGTTGAAACTAAAAAAAAAAATTAAAAAGATTTTTGTCACGAACCCACCAGGTGCGCACAGGGATAAAAAGTACCCTATTCCCATAGTTAAATATACTGATGAATCTTTAATGTTGGGGTCCTATTTTTTTGCTTCAGGTCATGGGCATCTTGTTCAGATACACGACAGCATCATGGATTTTAGCAAATACCAACAGATTAAAAAAAAAAAAAAAGTAAAACCTGACCACCTCTGCTAAAAATCTTATAATAGGACGTGGCTGGATCTTCCATCAGGACAACGATCCAAAACAAACATCAAAATCAACACAAAAATGTGTCACTAAGAACAAAATGAAGCTTCCAGCCGGCCTTTCTTGGGGTCTCTGAGAAGGGTGCTGGAAAGTGCTATGACTGGGAACTCCGTCGTTCTACTGGGACTTCAACGCCCATGTGGGCAACGACAGTGAAACCTGGAGGGGCATGTTTGGGAGGAACGGCCACCCTGACCTGAACCCGAGTGGTGTTCACTTATTGGACTTCTGTGCTAGTTACAGTTTGGTTTGTCCATAACGAACACCATGTTGAAGCATAAGGGTGTCCATCAGTGCACATGGCACCAGGACACCCTAGGCTGTAGGTCAATGATCGACTTTGTGGTCGTTTCATCTGACCTGCGACCGTATGTCTTGGACACTCGGGTGAAGAGAGGGGCAGAGCTGTCAACTGATCACCACCTGGTGGTGAGTTGGATCCGATGGCGGGGGAGGAAGCTGGACAGACTTGGCAGACCTAAGTGTACTGTAAGGGTCTGTTGGAACTTGGGAACGTTTGGCCGAGTCTCCTGTCAGAGAGATCTTCAACTCCCACCTCCGATGGAGCCTCGACCGGATCCTGAGGGAGGCTGGAGATATTGAGTCCAAGTGGACTATGTTCTCCACCTTCATTGTCAAAGAGGCCGCTCAGAGCTGTGGCAGTAAGGTCTCCGGTGCCTGTGGAGGCGGCAATCCCCAAACCCGAAAGATAAGGATGCCGTTAAGCTAAAGAAGGATTACTATCGAGCCTGGTTGGCTTGTGGGACTCCTGAGGCAGCTGACGGGTACCGGCAGGCCAAGCGGACTGCAGCCCGGGTGGTTGTGGAGGCAAAAACTCGGGCCTGGGAGGAGTTCGGTGAGGCCATTGAGAAGGACTATCGACAGGCCTCGAAGAGATTCTGGCAAACTGTCCAGTGCCTCAGGAGAGGGAAGCAGTGCCCTGCTAAAGCTGTTTACAGTGGAGGTGGGCAAGTTGTTGACCTCAACTGGGGATGTCGTCGGATGGTGGAAGGAATACTTTGAGGATCTCCTCAATCCCGCCGTCACGTCTTCCATTGAGGAAACAAAGGCTAAGGGCGCAGAGGTGGACTTGTCCAAGTCACCGAGGTAGATAAGAAACTCCTCGGTGGCAAGGCACTGGAGGTTGATGAGATCCTCCTGTTGAGGGGCTGTGTTGGCTGACATGAATCTGCAGCATCGCGTGGCAGTCGGGGACAGTGCCTCTGGGATGGCAGACCGAGGAGGTGGTCCCTCTTTTAAAGATGGGGACCAGAGGGCGTGTTCCAACTATAGGGGGATCACACTTCTCAGCCTCCCTGGGAAAGTCTATGCCAGGGTACTGGAGAGGAGAATACGGCCGATAGTGGAACCTCCGATTCAGGAGGAACAGTGCGGTTTTCGTCCAGGCCGTGGAATACTGGACCAGCTCTATACCCTTTACAGGGTGCTGGAGGGTTCATGGGAGTTTGCCCAACCAATCCACATTTGTTTTGTGGATTTGTAGAAGGCATTCGACTGTGTCCCTCGCGGCAGCCTGTGAAGGGTGCTCCGGGAATATGGGGTCTGGGGTCCTTTACTAAGGGCTGTCCGGTCTCTGTACGACCAAAGCAGGAGCTTGGACTGCATTGCCGTCAGTAAGTCAGACTTGTTCCCGGTGAATGTTGGACTCCAGCAGGGCTGCCCTTTGTCGCCGATTCTGCTCATAATTTTTATGGACAGAATTTCTAGGCACAGCCAGGGGCCGGAGGGTGTCAGGTTTGGGGACAACACGATTTCATTCGATTCTCGACACGATTCTCTGCTGTTTTCGGATGATGATGTCGTGTTGGCCCCTTCAGACCAGGACCTTCAGCATGAACTGGGAGAAGCTCGGTTACTCTGGAGGAGCTCGGTGTAGAGCCGCTGCTCCTCCACATCGAGAGGGGTCAGCTGAGGTGGGCTCGGGCATCTGTTCCAGATGGCTCCAGGGCGCCTTCCTGGGAAGGTTTTCCGGGCAAGTCCCACTGGGAGGAGACCCTGGGGAAGACCTAGGACACGCTGGAGGGACTATGTCTGCCGGCTGGCCTGGGAACGCCTCGGTGACCCCCCCAGGAGAGCTGGAGGAAGTGTCTAGGGAGAGGGAAGTCTGGGCATCTCTGCTTAGACTGCTGCCCTGCGACCGGGATAAGCAGAAGAATGTACACATTACCTTTTTCTCATTTCTGCTGTATCTCATCAACCTTCCAGGAACTGCAGGATGAAAGCACAGCACTGTTATTTTTGCTATAGTTTCATTTTTACATTTATGTAATAAGACAAAGAGATATTTTCTCTACTCCAAACATCAGCACAACCACTAGACTTTGTGCATGATGAAAAAAAGAAGATGAGCATTAAATCCTTCACCAATTTTTATTCTGCTCACAATGCCATTATCGACAAAACAGCACAAAAATATTTCAATGTAAATCACTTGCAGAACAGAAAAAAATCTATAAACATATATTCATTTTAAATATAAAGTATTAAAGCTGACCACTTCAACTAATAAACCTAAAAATCATATGCGTCCCAGAAGATAACAAAGGTGACAAAACAAGATTATTTCATTTTATATAATATAAAAAAGCCAAGTAAATACAAGACAAAATAAATAAAATGCAATATTGTAGTGATTTAGCATACATTCAGAACAAATCATATTGAGTAAGCTAATCCAAACATGTTGTTAACTTTTTGCATATTCAAATTCTACATCTGAATAGTATGTCTCTTATTAATTGTCATTTTTAATGTGCCATTCATATCTCTGCTGTCTAATGTCATATGTTAAAGACTAACAGTAACAAAAAGACTTGAGGACCAAGTCCAGTAGCACGTAGAACACTAGAACTAGTTTATTCTAGAATAGTAGTTGGCAGGTCGACTTGAAAAGAAAGAATTAAAAATTCAATACAAATACTTTTCCATAACGGAGACATTCGACAAAGATATCAAAAACTAAATCATCCTGGCAAGATAGGAAGCATTTGAGGAAGTTTTTCCTATGATATCTACGAGGCACTTTGTGAAAAGTAAATAAAAATCATGTTTAACTAAATGAATTTGGTTTATGTTTATGCATCAGTATGGTAAATAAGCACGTACAGTACAGCATTTAAAAATGACGTTCAACAGCTACAATTATCTCCTTGAATTACATGTAAACATTATTGTAGTGACATCTGTTGACCCAAGCACCTTGCCAAACTCACCCATGATACAATATTTCTGCGTTGCATTTTTGCGCCCAACACAAGTTTGGGCAGGACCTGGTGAGGATTTAAGGCTGATTGGTGACTGCTGCCAGTCCATCAAGATCGGTCTTGACTTAAAATGAGACTGTTTTTTTAAAGGGTTTACTTCAAAGATGGAATATTTCTTGTATGTGGAGCCACAACTGAACAAAAATGGCAAATGTTTCAGTGCAAGTGGTGGTTCTGGTGGTTGAAATCTATGCTTTCAGATTTTCGTCCAGCCAAAGAAATCAAACGCAAGATATAACAGCATTTAAACTGAACTTATTCACTGCTCCTTAGAAGAAGAAACGACAGACAGACATACAGTAAAGGCCGACAGCAGGTGTTTGCTCTGTGTAGTTGGTCGTTTTGGTGCATCTCGGTTTCAGAGTTACACAAACTGGAAGAAAATCAGATTTCCTATTCATCAGAACGACCCAACTGAGCGATCTCCTGGCACAATGTTTAGAGGATGGTGTGGGAAACCCAATCCAAATTTGGCAGCGATTGGCTGTCCTTCCTTTCAATCGCCTCACATTTCTGCCCTGCGAATGGGGGGTTTATCCCCATTGCCTTCTTCCTCCTCCTCTTCATCCTCATAGTTCTCCTCATTGTGATGTTGGATGAGTTGATTATCCTCCTTTACACCCTGACCTCTGACCTCTTCCTGTACAGATACAAAAAAAAAGATTTATATAAAAATAATCAAGTATGACGTTTGTTACACACACCTACCAAGTCTGCTCGCTTGCTACTAACCACCTCAAATTTCTTTCACAGAAGAAATAAAGTGATGCCCTGCATCCAAATATGCCTATATAATAGGCAAAAAACATTATTTTAGCTGAGTAGTTTGTCCGAATTCATAGTATTCCGAATTTAAATTATACTATCACACTAACTAGATTTCAAGTATGTAAGTAAATGTAGTACCAACTATATAGTAATGCGATTTTGGACACAGCTATGGGATTGGGCCAACATGATGGTTAGTAAATGATGACAGACTTTTCCATTTTGAGTGAACTCTAACTTTAAAAGTGCGCAGATGTGAATAAAGCATGAATAACATTCCCTAAATCTCAAGCCCCTTTCACAGAGATTCTGGAAAATACACTAATAATGTGTCCCGGGATCGTTTGATTTGTTCATTCACACTGCCAAGGATTTTCGGGAATCTGCGTGTGCTTTCACACACATCCCGTAAAGACGTGATGTGTAATGTACACGTCGAAAACGCTAGTGTTGTGGTACAGCAATGGAAGTGTTTGCATTGCTTTAATCAACATGGCAGCTGATCACGCATTAGATGTTGATATGCAAACTTTGTTGTTTATTTTCAACAACATGAACGTTCCGGGACTAATCCCAGCAATGTCAAGCTCCTCATTCCGGAATCAATCCTGGGACGTGTTTGTGTACACACAGAAGGGCAGGCCCTCTAGCAATTCTATGGCAATTTTCTGGGATCAGCGCTTTATGTGAAAGGGGCTTAAGAGATGAGGTGAAAATGGAGGATGGATGTTTAAAGAGGAGCTGGACTCAGGACAGTAACTGAACACCGTGGAGGACTGTGCAATCGATCTGACTCACCCAACTGTGGCACTGCCACCAGTCTACAGTTACAGCGGCAGCTTGTACAAAAGAATAAGTGAAAACGTACACAGACACACATAAGCAATACATAACTCTCTGTGATACAGTACAGAGACCATAAAATTATTGTCTTTAAAAAGACAGCTTAACTAGTAGAGATTCATGGTCCTGCCTTCTACATTTTTGACAAGAAACTAAATGAACACTGCAATTAACACATATCTTTTTAAAGGTGTACTGTGTGATATTTAGGTGTTTCTGTTGACAGAAATGCAACATCATATACATAACTATGTTTTCAGTGGCGTATAAAGACCTACTTAATGAACATTTATGTTTTTCTATCTACATACACCGCGGGACACCTTACATTGAAATGCGCCGACATGTTTCTACAGTGGCCCTAAACGGACAAACACGTTTCGTCACTATGCTGTTCTTCGTGCAAAGATGCTAGCTAAAGTCAGCGAATAAAACAAGACACAATTAGACATAATGATGAACAAGTAACAATAATATTCTTAATAACATCGTTTTACTGAATAATTAAGTTAACCTAATTTCTTATTTTAAATTTGTAAATTTGTAATTTCTGTTGGTTGCAATTCACAACCTCACCACTAGAGTTTACTGGCCACCGCTAAAAATTACACGGTGCACCAAAATATGCTTAAAATATTGTTTAAAAGTTTGGGATCGGCAAGATTTTTAAATGTTTTAAAGAAGTTGTATTTGATCAAAATTGTAATACTGTGAAATAGTTTTACAATTTAAAAGACCCGTTTTTAATATATTTTAATATATTTTAAAATGTGCTGCTCTGTTGGCAAAGTTGAATTTTTAGCATGATTACTCTTGATTAGGCTTCAGTGTCACATGATCCTTCATAAAACATTCATAAAATATTTATTCTTACTATCATCATCGATGTTGAAAACAGTTGTGCTGCTTAATATTTTCATGGAAACTGTGATGCCTTTTTATCAGAATACTTTGATGAATAGAAAGATCAAAAGATCTTTCGTCTGTATCATTGTCGTAGTGTTTATTGTTACTTTTGAAATAGTGTTTACTACAGTATTTGATCACTTTAATTCATCCTTGCTAAATAAATTTCTTCCAAAAAAAAATACAAATAATAATAAACACTTTTGAAGTATATATAGAGTGAATACAGGACAGGTATAAAAAGACACTTTTTGACTGTCATCACGGTTATTTTTAAAATATATAATTTTCAGCAAACCTCTTCTGAACAGCCACAAATTCTAAATATTTTGTACCTGTTCTGCATTCTCTTCATTATACGGGTCTCCTCCTTCTTCTCGCATCGCCTCATGCTTCTGATTTTCAACCGGCTCATCTTGAGCCTGGAGGAGAAAGCCATCCCGATTAGGGAACAAAAAATATTTATTTTTTTGTTTTTAGGACTGTGTGTGTGTGTGTTTGCATTTGTTTTCCGACCTCATCATCGCCTTCTTCCTGGTACTGCTCATCCAGAGTATCTTCCTGTTGGTCTGGGTTTCCAGCCATCTGCACAAAACACACAAAACTTCAGACAGTGTTTTGTTTTTATACAAAAAATGCTGCATAGCTCCACCAACACTGAAGACTCAATCTTGTTTCACACATCTATTAAACATCATGCAGAAAACATGACACGTCTGCTGGATAGGAGACTCCTTTCAGCTAAAAAAGAACAGGTTGCTTACCACAAGTTGTTCTTCAGCAGGCGGCTGGTGTTGATTCTCGACGGCCAGGTGCATGTTGGGGTTGCCTACGGGTGCTGGCTCTTCCTCCTCCTCTTCCTCATGGGCATGCCGCTGCTGCTCTGCCTCCTCAAACTCATCCTCACCCTGATTGTTGGGGTCGTCCTCTGGATCAACATCCGCTCCTACAGGTCGCTGTAAGTTTCATAGGTTTCACTCATCATGTTTATATGAATACTGGTACTTGTATATGTGTTTATAATATTATAAGGGAACACACCTCATCCTCCTGTTGAGCATGGTCCTCTTCATCCTGCCCAGGCTCCTCATGGTGCACGTTCTCCTCTACACATGACAGAGACATACAAAAGTATAATCCTCAGGGCCCAGTTATTCAAAAGGTTGAATAGGGATCAAAATTATCTAGATATGAAAATCCCATTTTTTGCTCTCCAGGATCAGGTAATCCATTTTACTTCTTGCGAGAGAACACAAAAGCATAAAATATAATTTTTTCCTCCCATCTCCATGTCCCTTTAGGTTTCCGTGGCCCCCTCATGTGACCCAGAACAAAAACAAACAAATGCATGCAATAATTGTTAGAAAACTATTTTGACTGGTTCATCTCTGATGATTATATCAATGTAGTTTATATAGACCCCTTTTCAGTTAGTAAACAAGGTGACTTTTTTTGTGGGCGGAGCTTAGGTGGAGGCAGAACGATCCCTCTGGCTGTTTCCCTAACGTTAGTTTGCAAGATTTGTTAGCTTGTTTCCGATTTTATCCTAATGTGCAAGGTCACTCAGTGTCCAGGACCGCGGATGTTATTTGCAAACGTTAATTTTAAAGGACGGAACCAGATTGGCTGACCCGTATACGCTCACTCAATGGATGGACGATCTGACAGGATTAACGTTACCGCTACCTCCGGTTGAGTGGCCTAACTTCTACACCTATCCGATAGAGAAACCGAGCGTAAAGAGAAACTGAGGGCATTTAAATATGTTATGCCTATAACTATATGCTTAATGGTCATGTACAAGAGCGCTCCCTAACCAGCGAAGAGTGACATTATGGTGCAATTTTAATTATGTGATTATTTTCTAGAAATCTTTTTTTTTTTCATTGATTCCTGCACCCAACAACACAACAAGATGACATTTAATAATGATAACTTAAGCTCCTTATTATGTAGCTGAATCTGTGCTGGTTTGTATTAACGTTTTTTTTTGCCTCCAGCTAATGCTGTGACGTGATTGTGATGTCGGCGTAAAAGGCTGTTTATTTAGTTGCATTAAAAACATTTTTTTACTTTACTGTACTGAAATGCTTAATAGGTAGCCTGTTCACTACTTCTTTATTACTTTCCAGTTAAACTAATCAAGAACAAAATAAAAATATCAATTTGTATACATTTTATTATACAAATGTTGTATTTTTTGACCAGTTTTAAAGTTTTATTACATTTTTGTTCCTGAAATCCACCCCTCTGGTGGGATCAGGATAATCCTGACTATGAGTAAAAAGTAGCACTGCTATCACAACAAACCACATAAATTGTCACCTTTCTCCTCAGCTATCTGTGCATCTTCTTCTCCCTGGACTATATCAGCATCTATGTTTTCATACTGTGCTTTTTTCCTGGTAAATACAGAAAATAAAAGGATTTATAAAATAAATCATTGTAGTTTCCTGGCATAACAAATAAACACGTACAAATGACCATTCTTCTTTACTGCAAAAAGTATGATTTATATACGTATATGAAGAGTTCAGATGCAAAATTCTTCTAGAATGATCATTTTTATAAAGCTTGTATATTTAAGTTCAGTGATTTCACTTAAATGGCTATGATAATTACCTATTAATTGTTATTTAAGTGAAATTACTGAACTTAAATATACAAGTTTGATAAAAATCATCATTAAAGAAGAAAATTTCAAATGGCATTTAGAGGCTTTTGCATCTGAACTCTTCATATATATATATATATATATATATAGTATATATATATATTATGATATATTTATTTTTATAACTGTATAATTCAAGGGAGGGCCTCTGACCGGAGCATCTCCTGCTGGAGTTTTTGCTCTTTGAGATCGGCTTCTCTGTTCAGCTGTTCCTCTCTCTCTCTCTGCAGACGTAATCTTTCCACTCTCTCCTTCTGCTGCTGCAGCTGCTGTTTCTGCAGGGTTTCCTGACGCAGGTGTAACTGTTTGCGCTCCTCTGCCAGCTGCGCAGCCAGACGCTGCTGCTCCTGCTGCTGTTCGTAGGCAGACTTCACCCGCTCCACCTCCGCTGGCGCCACCTGGGGGCAGAACAGAAGAGTGAGGGCCTTGCAATGTGAAATTAGTTCAAATTTGGAGAGGACAATGCAGGAACATCTCTATATATTTATTATAATAATGAAAACATACAGAATGTAAACATACTGATGTTCAGAATTCAGGCAAATCAGATTTTTTTCTCAGCTCAGATTTTTTCAAGCAGACTGTCTGCACTATTAATTGCAAGTGATCAAGTTAGATTTGTGTGTCCACTCCAGACACAACCAACCTATCTGCATGGGTTGCTTAGGTAACAAAGTAAACGGACCAAAATATGTGATGAGGCTTTCAAATGATGTAGGAAATATTAAAAGCATCACCCAAAAATGAAAATTCTGTCAGTATTTACTCACCCTCAATGTTGTTCCAACCCCGTAAGACCTTCGTTCATCTTCGGAACACAAATATCCGAAGATATTTTTGATTAAATCTGAGAGCTGAATCACACCTCCATACTAGTCCATAGGCTTCTTGAGGAAATGAAACTTGAAAAGTTATTAAAGACATTGTTAAAATAGTCCAAGTGACTACAGTGGCTCAATCTTAAATTTATCAAATGACGAGAACACTTTTTGTATGCAAAAAAAACAACAAAAATAACGACTTTATTTCAACTATTCATTATCTTCTCTCTCTGCCTTCGAGTCAGGTGGCTAGTTTAACAGCGTATGATCTGTTGTTGTACGTCACACGCATCACACACATGACCAGCATCAGCCAATGGGCTTCATGCCCAGCTGCACTTCTTCCTGAACTTCAGCCAGCTCCTTGTTTCCTGTCTGCCATTATTGGCCAAATTGATTAATTCAGGTGTACCTGACCTCAGTAGTCATGGCAACAATAATCAGACACACCTGAATTAATCAATTTGGCCAATAATGGCAGACAGGAAACAAGGAGCTGGCTGAAGTTCAGGAAGTAGTGCAGCTGGGCATAAAGCCAATTGTGAGCCTATGTGTGACGTAGCTCTACGCTATCACACTACGTTAACTGACTAGAGGCCCACAGAGAAGGAAGTGAATAGTTGAAATAAAGTTGTTATTTTTGTTGTTTTTTGCGCACTAAAAGTATTCTCGACGGCGCTTGATAAAGTTAAGATTGAGCCACTCAAGTCACTTGGACTATTTTAACGATGTCTTTAATAACTTTTCGAGGCCGGCAAGTTTCAATTCCTCAAGAAGCCTATGGACTAGTATGGAGGAGTGATTCAGCTCTCAGATTCAGCTCTTAATTTGTGTTACGAAGATGAACAAAAGTCTTACGAGGTTGGAACAACATGAGGGTGAGTAAATACTGACAGAATTTTCATTTTTGGGTGAACTAACCCTTGCAGAACTCGATGCAGAACTCTTCCGTCACACAAGAAAAACTCCGCATTGGAGGAGACTGGTATATATACATCTATAAATGTACGAATATGCTCGCATTCTGAACTCTAGTCTCTATTCCATAGTGTGTTTTAAATTTGATTTTTTAGATAATTAATACTTGATAAAAAAAGCATTTAAACCAAATGTTTTGCCTTTCTGACCAATTGGATAAAAATAAAAATGTCTAGGTAGGCAGCTTACTATGCAAGACTATGCAAATTTTGGGTCTGTAGATATGTTTATTTGAAAGAACTTAATACATCTATTTAGGAAAGATGCATTAAATAGATAAAAAGTAGGAGTAAATACATTTATAATTAGAGATGCACAGATTACAATTTTCTAGGCCGATTCCAATTTCCGATTTTTCAGAGTTTGACCTGCCGATACCGATTTTAACTGATTCCGATTTCGTTTTTTTCTTACCACTTTACAGCACACACAAATATTTGTTTTCTTTTTTTTCTTTAGTAGAACATTTTACATTTTGCATAGAACATTTTTGAACAATAATAGCTATAAAATAGTTAGTGATGTAGTACTCGAGTCTGGTCTCAGACTCAAGACCGGTCTCGAGACCGATTTCTGCTTTCTCGGACTCGTCTCGGACTTGTTCCTTCAAAGACTCAGTCCCGATCCTTCAAGACTTGGTCTTGACTCGGTTTAAGACCACAGTGGGAGGAGAAGGACTCATTTTCAGACCAAGTCCTCGAGATTTTTTTTCCATTTTTTCCAGCGCATTTTTTTTGTTCATATATATATATATATATATATATAAAACACATAACAACAATAATAATAAAATGCAATATTGACGGGCATTATTTGAAAAAAACATCCCATGGTGCAATGCAAAGATACTGCCGTCAGAGCCATCAGTGTCTTCAGTTCCTGCCTGGTGTGACTCGGACTTGCTTCCTCAAAGACTCGGCCTTGACTCGGACTCGACTGTATTTGAAAACCAACGGACTCGGTCTCGACTCGGACTCGACCCTTCAAAGACTCGGACTTGGCATAGGCGGTCTCGTCCCCATCACTAAAAATAGGACTATGTAAATTACTCCTGGTGTGGGAAATTCACACACATCTAAAGTGCAGTGTTATGGAAGAACTATTTCCTTCTTTTTACATCCAATATCCAACTAAAAAAAATGTGTTCATTTCAAAAAGAAAATTCATTTTCTTTTCTGACATATACTCCAGTTCTTGTTAAAACACACCAGACATGCAAATTCTGTGCACTTTGGACACTTTTGTGTGAAATCCTATTCCATTAAAAGTGTGCTTTCTTTTGTGCAGTGCTAGCAAAACCCGCGCTTCGCCAGTGTTCCTGCTTGACACTCACGCGCTGATCCTGCTCCCGGTGTGAATGCACTCATTGATTTGCATGCACGGCGTAAATAATACACGCTACACACGTTTGCGGTGTGAAACAGACTTAATTCACAAGGTTTCCTACATGTGCGTTCCGTGTGCCGGTCGCCGATCACGTGAAAATCGGTCAATTCTGGTCACCAGATGATCAATCGGTGCATCTCTATTTATAATGTTAGAAAACAAATGAAGAAGAATCCTGAAAAAATAAGCATAACAATTTAAACTGCACAGCTGTTGGTAATATTGATCATAATAATAGCATATTAGAATGAAATCAGCATATAAGAATGGTTTCTGAAGGATCATGGGACAAAGCCTGGTAATACCAGACTCTGCTACTTCACTTTGCTTCATAGACAGAGTCTGGAATGGCATAATAGAGAAGTGTTTTCTCTCTCGCAAGGGGGCGCTTGTCTGAAGTTTAAAATGATTGGCCAATCAGATAAGTTTATTTATGATATATGTTCTGCGGCGACACAGCCGCATCAAACCACAGACATCATGGATCGAACTCAAATCTATGATCGAACTACCACTGTAAACCTGCTGTAAACACTTGACGATGTGAGCGAAATACCGGAGTGAACATGGCTGTAAACGACTTTTGCAGATTATGCGAAGTTAATCCACGGTACAGTCACGGCCTCTAAACTTATTTTTGCCAGAGTGAAACAAGAAAATATTTGTAGCCAACTCTCAAACTTAGGATTAGATCTTTTAAACACAGCTCTTTGTTCCTCTAGCCTGGTAATACCAGACTCTGCTACTTCACTTTGCTTCGTAGACAGACGTAACTAACGGTAACAATTGATAAATTCAACTTTTCCCAAAAAGGAAAAGTAGGGAGTAGGGCCACAACATCACCTCCATTTAAAAGGTTTATCAAACACTCTTCTTGTTCTGGCTTCAGTTTGAAAAACCCCGGAATGTTCTCCATAACAAAGCGAATTGCATCCCGTGTCTCGTTTCCCATTCGATTCCTCTAACCTACAATGTAAAACTCGGCGCTTAGCGTCTACGTCACGGCTCTCACCCCGCCCTCTGTTCGTTGATTGGCCGACAGTCCGAAGGCTGCTGGAAAACTGAAAGATAGGCTGCTATCTCAGACTGACATACAGGAGCGAAATGACATTAGTGGAGGTAGGAAGTCTGACGTAGTCTGATGTGACACTGAAGACTGGAGTAATGTTGTGAAAATTCAGATTTGCCATCACTGGAATAAATAACATTTTGAAATATATGTATTTACATAGAAAACAGTTATTTAAAATTGTAATATGAATGATTTACAATATTACATTTGTTACTGTATTTTTGATCAAATAAATGCAGCATTGGGGAGAAAAAAAAAAACTTACCAACACCAAACTTTTGAAAGCTTCACTACATTAGCTAGTTTATTGGTAATTTATCTAATGTTTGCATTCAGAATCATGTCGCAAGAGTTCTGACCTCTTTAACGTGACGTTGCTCCCTTTCTAGCGCGTTTTCATCTGGTTGGTTGGCCTGTGGCTCCTCCTCCTCCACTTCATTATGCGGCACATCAAACTCCTCCTCTAGTTTCTGAGGTTGTCCCGCCTGCTCCATCTCCTCCTCTGCCAGCTCTCTCCTCCTCTCCTCGGCTCCTCCCATTTCGCCAACCTCCTCCCTGTCGTGCGATTGGGGCTTCTCGTCCTCGTGGTGTTTCTCCATCTGAGGGAGATCCACATGAAACAGATCTCATTCACCATTTAAACCAGTGACATGAGTGGGGGAAAACCTCAGTTTTGAAAGTATGATAGATAAACAGTTTCAATACCTCTGGCTGAGCATCGCGTGGTTGATTGTTTTCTTCTACGTTCTGATTCTGGACGGGCTGAACAGCTTCATGTTGCTGGGGTTGGCCTGCGGCATGTTTTAGACTGGGCATCTTACCGAGCGTCTCTTTCAGCTGTTTATATTCATCCACCTGAACCTGAAACCCATTGAGACCCACTACATCAGTACAACACCACACATCAGAGAAAAGGCTTCATATACATGGGTGAAAAGTTACACAAGCAATGGTTGGTGAAACAGGCAACAAACACAGCAAGCCAAAATCAAGAGCCTGACGTAAGGCAGAAGAGAAAGAGATAAAAGGCCATCATGAGAAATACATCCAGATCAGAAAAAAAACTAGTGCAATCTATATCAATAAAAATGCATTATTACTTGTAATTGAGAACCTCAAGAAACACTTGCTTAATTGACAACATTCTACAAATCTACTTGTTTTTTTTATTATTTACTATTTGAATTGAATCCTATTATTTAGAACTTAAAGCAAAATGTATTTAATTGAATAAAAGAAAAAAAAAGCAATATGGTATTATTGTATTTATGTATTTGATATTTAAAACATATTTAATAATTTAATATTTATACTTTAAAAAAAAAGATTTTGTTTTAGAAAGTAAAGTTTGTTTTAAAGCAAAATGTATTTAATTGAAAGAATACTAGAGAACTATGTGGAAATGTATTTATTTATATTCAAATTATATTATATATATGTTCAAAAGCATATTATTTTTTGTTCTGGTTTCAAAAATGGTAATGATTGAACTCAAATGTAGGTCTTTAAAAATGTTTAATCTCATAATTGATACTAAACATTGCAGGTTCTTGTACATCAACTTTGTATCTTGTGCATCATATTTTTTCCTCCCCCCTCATCAAAGAAAAGTTAATAAAGACATCAAATATGGGTCATAAAATGCAAATGTATGACTTCAAAAGACTATTCTTTAAATCATACAATTGTTTAATCATCCTCAACTCATACCCAAGATCCTGCAATCCTAACCTAACCTTTCTCCCAATCCTTCTTTACAAGGGTACCTGTTTTCTTCTCTGTTTGAATGCCAAGTGTTGCCAGCATATGGAAGGAAAATATCACTCTGTATCACACACACACACACACACTAAACCCAATGCCTCCCGGCATGCCTCTCTATCATCCTGGGAAAGCAGATAATGACAGTTCTAATTAACAAGCATCTGTACATCTGGTTTCTCAAAGCCACAGAGAAAGTGCGAGTAAACAGAAAGTTCAGCATGCATGGCTTATCAGAGTCATGCACATTTTAGCATGCTAAACAAGGGCAAAAAGTTCTGAGAAACGAGAGTGAAACTGTGTGCAAGAGATCATAATGGCCTTGTGGAATGCGACCGGACTTGAAACGCAGACTTAGTCCAGTCTGACAAGCTTGCATAAGCAGCACTGCAGTCTAACTGAATCAGCAGGATCATGCGCTGCTTTCACAATGAAAGCATTTCTACTTCTAGGCAGTGCTTTGCAGAAAATATAAAATAAAACATATTAGCTGTGTTAAAACCTTGCTTCCTACATAGGCAACATCATAACCATCATGGTTACCATCATAGGCGACTGATTTGGGATGAAGCCACATAAATAACACTCCTAAATTGCACAGGAAAAGCGACTTAGTTGTTGCAACTTACAGATAGCCATTGATATGTTAAGGTAATGACACAATGCTCTGTGTGAGAAGTATGAGAATGCAATCTAATTTTATTACACTAAACTATTTGCTTGCTGCTTACATGACCTCTGTGAAACTTGACTTGTCTTTCCCACAGGATATGCTCAGCATGGTATTTGAGCTGTCAGTGGAAAAGCACACACACACCTGCACCTGCTTAAAGCGCATGCACACACACACACACACATGCACACACCCTAACCTGTGCCGCAGCTAGCGCACTTTTGTGGTCCTCCAGGGTCAACACAAGCTGGTCGTGGCTGGCTTTTAGGTTCTTGTGCTGTTGCTACAAGAGAAACCATCACAGGCAAAGCTCAAACACAACCATTCAGGATAACCACACTGAATATTAGTATGGACTATGTGATAAAGCTAAATTATTATCATCATAAAAACAATTGCCTGATCTGCAATAAAATGGATCATGGGGGGGAAAAAAAGACTAAATTAGAATTCTATTAAGGTAAATGTTATGAAAATGTTTAAAAACATTTCACAAAATTAAAATAAATAATAATAAAAGTGTGTGTGTGTGTGTGTGTGTGTGTATATATATATTGCATAAAAAGTATATTTTTAAGAACCATTAAATTTGTTACACTGTAAAATTATTTCAGAATCAGAACAATTTCCCCCCTTTGTAATGAGATAAAATAATCACATATTATTTAAACTGATGATTATCATTTTTGAATTTCAATTATAAGCATGATAAAACGGTAACAATTGCATCATTGCAATATCTGTTAAACTGATGTCATTTAGAATATTTAAAAAAAACAAACAATTAAATATCAAATGTATTACATTATATTAAATATGGTTAATAAACATTACATTTAAATATACATTAACAGAGATAATAATATTATTATAAATAATATTATTTATTTCTTGACTTGCTTTTTTCATAAAAATAAAACAAAATATCAATGGTCTTGAAACATGATTCCATTTCTTCATTCTAAATATATTTTCTCATTTTAATTATTTGTTTGTTTGTGAATTTTGGGGCATTTTCACAAGATTTACCCCTTAAAATGTGGCAAAGATACATATTATCCATCATAACCATAAAACATATTTTGTACTACTGCACTAAAAAGATGCATAGGGCTTTTCGGTTTTACCCTGGTATCCTGAAGTTGCACATAGATGTCCTGATGAGCTTTTCTCAACTGCTTGTTTTCTTCACGTAGGTTTAATTCATTCTCTGGGAAAGAAAGAGAAAGAGAATGAGAATGAGAGAGGCAGCTGAAATGATGGTAGCTTTTAATTCCACCATAAAAGACACAAGAAGGCATTAGGCAACATGATGCTAGAGTCTTTGTGGTGGTTGCCAGGGTGTTATTGCTAAGAGAAAGATGGAGAGAACATGATACCTTTGAGCTTAGAAATCTCAGACTCTTTGGTCTGATGAAGCTGGCCAAGTCTCAGTTTATGCTCATCTAGTGCCTTGTTGTGTTCATCTCCTTGTAGCTGATGTCGCTCTTGTAGTTCGTAATACTGCTTTTTTAGGTCCTCATGCTGGTTCTGATGGTAAACACACACACACACACACAACAGTGAATTATCTGTGTTTGCTGTGGGAAGAAAAGACATACTGTAACTGCACTGTACAGTACATCAGAAAACATAATTTTTTTTAAAAAGTTGATGACTTCCAACTGACCTTCAAAATCTGATGCTGGGAATGCATAGAATTAAACCTGACACTGGCATCTTGCTGTAAACAAAACAAATACAAACAAACCTGGTCATTTTGTAAGCATGGCTCTCCAAATGCAATGCCGGAAGGACACAGGTCGTGATATTCGAGAAATGTATAGTTTGCAGACAAACAACCAGAAGAGTATCTGACTGTTTTCTCTCTAAAAACTTAGCTTCCCTGCATTTCATCTAGTTTGTATGTCGTAGCTCTCAAAACAACATACCTTTTCTTTGTTGAGAGACTGCTGAGACTCTATTTTATACACAAGATAATCTGTGAGGAAAAGGCAAAAACAAGTATTACAGCAGAGACAAATACAATACTTATTTTGCCAATTAATTAACTATTAAATGATATTATTTTGCAAAGACATTCATACATCTTAAGTGTGGCTTAAAAGTCCAAATACTCTTAGGATCTTATTAACTTGACACTTGGCATAACATAGCTGCTTTGGGCTGCACCGGTTTATCCATCATGCAAGCTACAGGATGTCATTACAATTCATCATTTCCTCTTCATCAATTAGTCACTGATGTTGTCATTATATTATAAACACACTTGCCTTCTTTGGCTTTTTTATGGTCAAGCCGCTCCTTCTGAAGAGACTTCTCCAACCTAGAGCGATGCTCGTACACAACTGACAGGAAGAAAGAGAGAAAAATTAATTTTTGGATTGGTGTTGACCAATTCATTACAATATTGTATTCCTCCATAAAAAGTAACTAATTGCGTTCATTTTAGGGCTGTGCAAAAATTAATTGCGATTAATCGCATCCAAAATAAAAGTCTGTGTTTACGTAATATATTTTTGTGCGCTGTATATAATTATTTTGTATATATAAATACCTATGCATGCATGTTTAAGAATTATTTGCGCTTAAATTCTGTATATATATATATATATATATATATATATATATACTGTATATATACATATATAAATACAAAATCTATATTATATAAATATAAATATTTTATATATGAATAACACATTTTCTCAAATATATACATGCATGTGTGTGTATTTATATATACAAAATAATTATATATAGCACACACAAATATATTATGTAAACACAGACTTTTATTTTTTTGCAATAACTTACTGGCAATAGTTACTGTAATTAAAATGCACAGTACCATAACTTATTTCAGTTTTACAGTAACTACATGGTACTGTAATTGTGCAATACAGTGCATTACTGTAAAATCAAGCTAATCAGTACACTTATTTTTATTTGTACTAAATATAATTTAAATTTCAAAATTTGTATATAGAATTAATTTTTATTTTTATCCTACACAAGCACTACATTTGATTTGACATTCAAATCAATAAGACAAAATAATTACACAATACCATTTTTTTTATTTAAAACATTTCATATACAATACATCACAAAATAAACAGTATGCCAATGCTGAAAATGATGTGTTATTTTTTTTACATGTGTGAGTTTAGGGTTTTGTGTTAATTTTAACAAAGTAAATATGTCAGAAAGGTTAGCACAAAGATGTGTAGACATGTTAAATTAACACATTATGTGCTGTCCATCACTGCACACATTGTTAAAAAAAAGTAAAAAAAAAAAAAGTAAAATCCTAAACAAAACGTTAGCATTTGACAAAATTATTGTAGAAGCATTGGTTTTTTAGCTTATTATAATGAAATAGCACCCATTACATTCATAAAACTACAGAATATAAATACATTAAGCAGTCAAAAGGGAAATTTCCAACACAGGGCAAAACACAGTTCTTTTCACAGTACATGACACATAACCCCACCTTCAAAATAATTATTTCCAAAAATGTGTTGGATTCATGTACACTGGTGGCCAAAATAAGTATTTAAGTGTCCTAATGTTTTTGAAAGAAGTCTCTTTGATGCTCAAGAAACATTTCTTATTATCAATGTCTGACTGTCTACTCCTCCATGTTTTTCACAGCATAGAAGTAAAAGTCATCCTCCACCGTTGTGAATAAATTAACTTCTCCAAGACTGGTTCCTGTTCAGAACTTGATCAGAACGTTCCCTGGTCGGAGGAGATCCCGGTTCCAACACTATATATATATATATATATATATATATACTGTATATATATATATATATATATATATTAGAGAGAGAGTTGATGTTTTAGCACATTTCAGCTTATCTGCAGTGAAGAGGTTCCTGTTTGAGACAAATACACAGTAAGACACATGCAAGAAATCACAGAGTGATGATCGTTGTCCTTCCAGTAGTTAACCCACCTGTGTGCTGCACTGTGACCTTCCTGGTCAGGTGGGACTGCAATGGTAGAGTCTTTTGCCAAATATATATATATATAAACTTGAGTAGTTAAAATGCTACATTTGGTATGAAAGAATTAGTGAGAGTTTTTAACTCCAATACGTACCTGGATACATTTAATCTGGTGACACTGAACATAGAAAATGGTCCATCTGCTGATTGGTCCAACTTAATATAAAGCTAAATCATAAATCAGATGTGCACCTATGTACAATAACATACCGAAGTCCACCAATCGATTTAAATAGTAAATTGTGCTAAATTTGGCATTTAATGAGATCTAATACATGTTGGTGGCATGAATTTTCACATGAAGCACTTCAATGGTCCAGTGGCAGAACTTTTGCCAAGCGTGTCATAGGTCCTGGGTTCCAATCCGCACTCGTATCGTTTTTTTTTTTCATTTATTAAAACCGATAATGTTTATCAGTGGTTGTATATCAAGTAGGGACACGTTCGCATTTTATTTAGTGATTTCACCGGAACGAAGTATAAAGTCTCCGCAACAGATTAAAGTGCGCGTCCTTGTGAAGACTGTGCACATCAGAACATTATATCCGCGCCACTGATCGCAGAGTCAATAAGCACTTTGATCACTTGGTTTAAAAAAAAAAACACATTTCAGTGCTAGATCGCCTCATATTTAACAAACGAACGAAATTAATGCTCTGCTAGTTAACTAGAGATGTTTTATTTATTTGTATTATTTACATTCATGCCGTAAGGTGTTTCAAAGGTGATGGGAATAATATCGACCCTGGCTAAAAGTGGTGGGGTTATGTCCCACCCGCAAATTACGCCTATGGATATTACACTGGATGTTTCGGCGCGACACGACAAATCCCAGACAGAGTGTATATGCGCTGTTATATTTCTGACGTACGATGCTCCATGTCCAAGCGCTAGCACATCCACACTATTTCTGACAAGCGGGAGCAAAAGATTAGCATTTTCCATTAGTGGTCCATTGGTGTAAGGCAAAAATTAGGAAATAAACAGCATGATGGAATAGTGACAGTCAGAATAGTGCCGTTACATCAAAAACAGTAGTATACTGCAAATTTAAAAAATACAGTAAGTCTCTGTATGGGGTGTCGGATGTTACATAAAATTCCCATAATGCAATGGGAATCCCAGTTGTCTAACGTAAAGAGAAATAGCAGTATAATACAGAGTGATTAGAAGTAAATAACTGTAGAAATGTGATCAAAGGCTTAGGCCATTTCTTTTAAACACGTTTCAAGAGTTCTGCCAGTAGTGTGGGCACTCGTGTAAAGTAAGCATTGCAATGATGTATATCTGAGTGAACAAGATTTGTAAATATTATAGGGTAAATTGGCACTAGGCGGGAACACACAGACCGAAACAATAACAGACATTCCGACCAAAACACTTTTCAAAGTTAAATAAATGGCTGTAGCATTTTCAGAGAAACATTTCTCATACAAGTATGTGAACTAGCATGTTCCCTAAATCTCTGCAAAAATATCATGGTATTTTTATGCTTTAGTGCAAAGTCAAAAATTTACATATAGCATTTAGCATATAGCACATATAGCGTTATACATTTATTGATTCTCTTTCAGCTACAGTTGGAGTTACAGTATATATTTGAACTTCTGGCCCTTTGCAAAAATGCAAACAAATGTGTTCGGCTGTCATCTCACATATCTGCATGACATTTTTTTCACCATATGGCCCAATGAAAGTTATGTCTTTGAAACAGTGTCTTGAAACCGCGTAATGCACCATGTGTATTTTTTCAAACAGTCCTATGCTGACATGACACTAAATTGGTTGTTATACAGATTAATTATACATGAAAATATAGTTTTGCACAACCCAACATCGAAAAAGTGATTTTACTAAAGAGACAGACTAATGCAGAAAAATAACTCAGAATGAACAAAAAACATCTGTCTGCCTCCGAATCCATAAGGCTGTGTTTTAAAAGATATATTACATTTATATATGAATAGTTCAGATGCAAAAGCCTCTAAGTGCCATTGGAAATTTTCTTCTAGAATGATCATTTTTATCAAGCTTGTATATTTAAGTTCAGTGATTTCACTTAAATGGCAATGATAATTACCTATTAATTGTTATTTAAATGAAATTCCTGAACTTAAATATACAAGTTTGATAAAAATCATCATTAAAGAAGAAAATTTCAAATGGCATTTAGAGGCTTTTGCATCTGAACTCTTCATATACATTTAAAGATGTACATTTCTACATGGGTTTACTGTGCAAACAGTTAAACAAATAGTACAGCATTTTAATATGCAAACAAAGCAACAGTCACAGTGCTAAAAAAACATGTATAAAAAGTCTAGATACCCCAACACAATCTCCTCAGTCACAACAAGAATCTTGTACAGTACCATAGTCAGAAGGTAAAGTAAGCTGAGCTATTTTTTAAGACTTTCCGCACTGTGTGAACCACTGACCCGTCAAGTGCCACATTCAACCCTCTTAATTTCTCTCTAATGGCATCAGATTAAAAGGTTGACCCGTCTGCTCTTTTTACACGTAACATGAGCTACACTAGCAAAATCTGAAATGCCGAAGGAAATTAACCCTGGCTGAGGCTTTCCTCCCCATATGTGTGTTTGTCCAGCAGTGTGGGTTGTTCGTTGAACTGCAATATTACAGTGAATTACGCCTTTCCTCTGGTCTTGTATCCTCCATTACATCCATTATTACATAACAGACACGTCAAGTACTTATTATACTGATTAAAGAGACTATGCAGTCAGTGATTAAGACTCAAAGGCGGCAGTAATCACAGGACCTCCTACTGGTCCCATTAACAATTAAAAGTAAAATCGTTTTCGCAGCACAAGCTTAGGAAATAAAATATATGTTGGCTCAAGGACCCAAGGCTATTTTTGAATGAATATAGAACAAGTATTATTAATGACAGTTATAAATTACTATGCATAATGTATCATAATTATATATACAATAAAAATAATACATTAAATCTTAAATACAGGTTTTGTATATTTAAAAATAAAATATTTTTAAATATAAAGTTTCTTAAATAATTATTAATCATATTTTTCATTGTCAAGAAAAAGTTCTGAAGTAAATAAACATAATTATTGTAAAGCAACTTATTATAATTTTACAATTAATTATATAACAGTTATAAAATTAAATAATCTAAATCCTTTACTGCATGAAGTTAAATATAACACATTTGTTTACAAATATAAAAATGTTTCCAAAAAAATAATCATTTGTGTTGTCATCAAGATCTAAACTACATTTGTGGTCAGAATTTATGGCACCCCTGGTAAATATGATCAAAAAATGGCTGTACAAAATAAATCTGCATTGTTTATCCTTTTGATCTTTCATAAAAAAAAAAAAAATAAAAAAAAATAAAACCTTTAATTGAGGTAAAAGAATTGAAAGTGTGTGTGTGTGTGTGGGGGGGACAAAATTTTTTTATGAAAAAAAATATCTCTAAAGTATATTCCCATTAATATTTACCTATATCAAATATTAATATATTTAATAACAGTTTTTGTGCTAAAAAACTATCCTGTGGGTAAACGGTTTAGATATTTTATTGTTTAATTTTGATATACTAAAATGAGGAGCAGATGTGTATTCAGTAAATATAAGTTACATGATTGAATGCACACACAAAACCCCCTCCAAACTCAAAACATTTGAGAAGAACGGAACAGAAAAATGTGGTATGCAACTCAATATTGCAATCTAGCAAAGTAACAAAACTATAGTTTCATCTGTCAATGCCAACAGTTTAACATATATTTGTATTTACCAGTAATATAAACACAAGGGCCATTTCGTCGTACCCTTTTTGCAGCTGTATTGAGCTTGGACAAGCAGACAAACTGCAAAGCCAATCTCTGTAAGACTGGGACAATGAAAGACTGTGATTTTAGGCACAGGTTGAAACAAAATGTTCTGCATAAAAATGAGCATCTTCAACGGCAGCTGCAGGCAATCCATGCAGTATCTACACACAAAAACACTCAAAACATTTCAAGGATTTCAACACCTTGACAGCCAGTTTGACCAGTTTCAAGTTCTGTGTGAATTGCAGCAAAATTGGATTTGCAGCAAAACACTTTGTTTGAGTTCCATGAAAAAGGTTTGCAAACCGTGGTATTTCATTTAATAGCCTATGTCAGTCAAGTGCCGTGTAGATGATTACATTGCTATCTGGAATAATTTATATGGCTTGATTTAACAATCCTTTGATTTAAAGTCAGTTTTTCCCCTATGGAGATCTATATCCAGATTCTTGAACAAGTAAACATGTAGGGATGGATTTGATTCTGTCCTTGGGCAATTCATTTAGATCTTTGTGGTTTGCTTTTGGTGTGATGTCATGTGAGTGACATGTTGCCCCGCCCAGAGAAGTGATTAAAGATTAGGAGGGCATAGATATGAATTTAAAAAAAAATTATGCATAGATAAATCATTGAATAAATACTGCAATATTATATTAATTCCATTATTATTTTATGGTGACTTTAGAAAAAAAAACTACCCCTATCTATTGCATTCTATTCTGTTCTATTCTATTCTAAAGATAAAGGTGTGAAATATTCAAAACATCTTGTCACCAATTTAACAGCTTGTATGACATTATTTAAGTGGTCTTGTCACAAGAAATGTCAGTCAATATATTCAATGCATTTTGTAGTCATTGTCATGTCACATTTTTTAAGAGCTTTAAAACTAAAACTTTCGATTATCTCTCTAGTTCTTTAACCATTAAGCAAGAACACCACAAACAAAAGATGCCATGCAAGATCACTCACAGTAAACTACATTTTAGAGCTCGTAAGTTGCCAAAGTTTGGGAGAACGTTGTTTGCACCGTGACGTCATCAAGGCGACGTGTGTTTTTACCTTGAAGCTGAGCGGAAAGAGACTCCTGGTGCTGCTGATATTTCAGGGCCATCTCTTCTGTCCTCTTCAGCTGTTTGTGCATCTCATAAGACACCATCCCACCATAGATCATTCCGAACACCACCGTGACCAGTAAGAGAGATTGGAAAATCTTCTTCTGCTTCCTTGAGCACACGCCGTTGCCCATGTTCCCTCCTCTCCTGGATTCCACAGAAACGTCCCTGGGAATGATTTCCTCTTCACTGTTCAGTATAGAAACAACTTTGTCCCCTCCGAGATTCCTCTTGAAACATTATATTTCTGGACTGTTGCTCAAACGACATATATATCTGAAATGTTTCCCAAGTTTTCCAAATACATTCAACAGTTTAAAGAAAGTAACGAATCCGGATGTATTTGGTCCTCGTGCTAAGCCAAAGCTCTGTGAAGATGTTTACATAGTGAAATGCAGCCTTTTTTAATAATTATCTGAAGTTTAGAGAGGCCTAATCGCACCTTTGCGGTACGTGTCACCTAGAACTGCAGCAGCTCATCCAGACCAGCGCTGAAGGAAATCCCGCCCCTAACAAACATTCCATTGTTTTGATTGGTCATGGTCCGTGTCAATCAAAAGAGGTTCGCTCTAATGGGAGGGGCGTGTGTCTGAAGGTCTCCGAAAGCAGAAAGCAAGGAAATTCACAATTAGGGTAATTTTGACACTTTTGGACCACTTTTCCGGGTCTGTAGTAGATGTAGGTACATATATGTATATGTATATGTATATGTATATGTATATGTATATGTATATGTATGTATATGTATGTAGCTGTATATGTAGCCTGCAAGTATGGCATTACGTAGGTTTAGGTTGTTTTTTTCTTTTAAAGATAGGACGCGTTAAATTGATCTAAAGTGACAGTAATGACATTTATGTTAGCTACATATTTATATTTCAAATAAATGCTGTTCTTTTAACTTTTCTATTAATCAAATATAGCCTAAAGGTTTCCACAAAAATATTAACCATGCACAGCTGTTTTCTTTTCAACATTATTAAATTTTGGCCTAATAATAATAAGAATGCTTCTTGAGCAATAAATCATCACATTGAAAATTATTTTTGAAGGATCATGTGACACGGAAGACTGGATTAATGATACTGAAAATTCAGCTTTGCCTTACAGGAATAAATTACACAACAAAATAGAAATATTCATAATATTAATATTTTACTGCATTTTTGTCAGATAAATGTAGCCTTACTGAGCAAAAAAAAAAAAAAGAAAGAAAAAAAAAGAAAAGTGAAAAATTCCTATCGGCTCCAAACTTTTGAACGCTTTGAATACATTAGGCCTACATACAATACTGAATGAAGTCATTAATATTCAGTCATTAGCATTCATGTAGCCTATTGTTGTTGTTGTTGTTGTTGTTGTTGTTGTTGTTGTTACACAATCTGGCAAGGCCATGTCTACATCTTTTCAACAGCCTTTTTGATACTAATATATAACTTTTAAAGTCACGCACAATCACAAAAGACATTATAACAGCCTGTAGATTTATTCAAAATTAATACAACAACACTTTGACAAATGCAGCAGGAGGCAAAATTATGTGGATGTTCTACACTTAACCCTTTTGTTCAGTTCAACTTTGTCTAATTAATCTTTTCTAGTTCTTTAGATGTCTCACTCTCTTCTTCTCTTAGCTCTACATAAGGAAATTAAGGTTACCCAACTGTTTCTCTGAGTAAAAGTCTTAACAATAAAGCAACCTTATTGAGCATTACAGTAATTAGTTAGAGCGGATTTATCAGGGATTATAAACCTCAGGTTGCCAAAGGAGTACAAGCTGTCCTTACTTATACCCTTTTATTTTTTTACAGACCTGACATCTTGACATCTTAATCACAAAAAGGAGATGTTATAACGGGACTGACAGCTATAGGTATACAGTATACATTCATTGAATTTTTGGTGATCAAGATTGATCAAGGTGATCAAGACTGTCATTACTTAACCTCCTTTGTATTAGATAGAAGAAGAAGTTGACAGGTTTGGTATGACATGAGGCGGAGTGCACTGTAAAAAACAAATATTTTCAAGATTTGTTATCACAACATTTTTTTCTTTTGTCAAATCAACTTAAATCATTTATTTAGTTCAGATAACTTATTATTTTGAGTTTCTGATGAACCTCCTTAATTGTATTAACTCAATTTTTCAATTTCAATCAACTTAAAATTTTAAGGCAACCAGAGGTTATTTAATTTTTTAAGTTAAACCAACAATATTTTTTACAGTGTAAATGTTTTATATACATATAGATCAGATAGATGTTCTAGTGTTAGATCCATATCATTATATTGCTTTGGAAAAACATATTGACCTATGATCATACATTTAGCTTCCTCTGATTTAGAGATACAACATGGTTAACAGTTAGATCATCTAAAATATTGGTATCTTGTTTGTAGAATGTGAATTTCATCTTGAAGTTGTTTAGCCTATATATTTTTTCTTTATCTTATTGCTACACATATAAAAACAAATTCTTAATATTTTAGAGTTTTGACAGCAGACTAATTTATAAAATAATATTATTTCGCAATATATCATGTTACGGATGATATTGTTATCTATTCTACAGTATATAATTAGGAAATCAAAGTTGATGTAACCTGATATAATAATCTGTGTGTGTGTGTGGCTTTTTAAGGGACCTGATTCCTGTCATTCATCACATGCTTGTCTTCAACTGGTGGAACAACTTAAACAATAACTTGGAAACAGAAGGTATCCACCCATTTCTCTTTGTATATGGCATTGCTCAGCAAACGTTTCCATCAGACACAATGGCAAACGGCACGATGCTGCTGCTGCTGCTGCTGCTGACTCTCGCTGTGGGACCAGCCGTAGGTTTCTATGGGGGTTCCATGACATTCACGCCTGGAAACAGATTTCCTGATGGATCCGTGGAGGTAAATATCGTTTTAACATTTTAGAACTCAATAAGTCTCACTCTGTTTATTTTTAATCCATTTTATTTGACCTCTATTTTATCTGTCATACAATATGTCAAATTAATTTTAAGTAAGAATAAGTAATCTAAACGTAGATGTGAATAGTGAATAGAAAAAAAAGAGATGGTTGCTATATGTAATGCTATTTTAGATAGTTGTTATTTATATTTTAAATTTGCTATAATGTACGTATGTTAAGTTTTTATTTTATGAGAAATGTTGTTATGTGCTTTTGTAATGTTATTAGTTTGATTTGAATATATTTAGCTTTAATTTATTTTTATTTCAGCTTTAATTTTAGTCCTTTTAATACTTCAACTAAACATTTGTTCCAGTAAGCTGCCAAGACAACATTGTTAATTTTAATTAAACTTTTGAAAGTTTTCATCTGATATTTATATTTTCCTTGCAGCTTTATTTCTATTACTGAAAATGAGAAATTGGTCAATATAATTGATAATTGGTTATTTACATAATAGTTTTTATGCATATAAGTTAGGCAAATAGAAGATTCAACTTTTTTTTTAAGTAATATGATCAAAAGTAATCTCGGTAACACTTTACAATACGGGTGCACTAATATACATTAATTCATACTTAACTAATGCACAGATAATCATGAGTTAATCTATAACTCATAAAGAAATAAACCATTAAATAATGATTACTGCATCAGCAACTAATAAAGAGTCTATATGATTAATAGATTAAGTAATACATGAATTGCTATTAATTCAATGTGTCATTGTGTATTACTTCCTTAATAACATATTTTATTAACTAATTAAATTAATGTGTTAATTACAACAATTAGTCAAAGCTATGCACTTCAACTTCCAGTTGTCTGCTTTAAGTAATTATTAGCAATGATTTGCAAAGGTATCATTATGTTATGACTTTACTTGTTGGGGCACATCATTATTAACTATTCATTTAGTAATTGTAGTAATTTGCACATGAATTTGCACTAACAATGAAGTAATTAATCATGTATTAATGCATATTAGTGTACCTCTGGATGTTGTAACACAAGGCTTTGGCTCTGTAACGGCACCCGAGACATGTTTGAATCCATATGCAGCTTTATTGAAGGTAAGTCAGACAGGCAAGGGTCAGAGATCGGCAAGGCAGGGTTATCACAGAACAGGCTCAGAGAATGGTCGAATAACAGGCAGAGAATCAGGACAGGCAGCAAACAACAATAATCCAAAACAATCCGGGTCGGGGCAGGCAGCAGACTAACGAGAGTGGTAGAACAGATCAAGGTCGGTACACAGGAAAGGCAGGCAAGGGAAAAACGCTCAGTCATTACAGCCGTGGCAATGCAATACTTCGCACTGGGTGAATGTATGAGTGTGGCTTATATAGGAAGTCCGATGAGATTCAGGTGTGTGTGTAATCAGTCCCAGTAGTGGTGCATTATGGAGAATGGAGTCCTGCTATGATTAATACTCCGGTGATGGCTCCCTCTGCTGGTTGAGAGGAGGCGGAGCGGGAGCCTGCTCCGTAACAGAGCCCCCCTCCTGCGAGCAGCTCCTGAGGCGAGAAGGTTGACGACGCCGGGGTCTTCCACGAGGTCGAGGGGCCGGTTTCTCCGGATAGTTGCGGTGGAATTCCTCTGTGAGTGATGGGTCCAGAATATCACTGGCGTTGATCCAAGATTGTTCCTCCGGACCGTACCCCTCCCAATCCACCAGATACTGGAGAACATTACCCCGGCGCCTGGAGTCCAGCACTTCGTGCACACGGTATGCCTCCTCGCCGTTGATCAGGAGCGGTGCAGGATCTGGGGCTGTGACTCCCGCTTCCGACACTCCCCTCGGATCCACAGCAGGTTTCAGGAGGGATACATGGAAGGTAGGAGAGATGCGGTAATCAGCAGGCAAATCCAAGCGAAAAGACACAGGGGTAACTTGTTTTACTATTTGAAATGGACCAACATACCTGGGACTGAGTTTACGGCAGGGAAGTCGGAGTCTCAGATCTCTAGTGGAGAGCCACACCCATTGACCAGCGCTGTAGTGAGGGCTAGGGCGTCGGTGACGATTGGCCTGTAGTTCTTGTCTTCGGACCGCATGCAGAAGATGAGTATGGGCCTGATTCCAGATCCTTTCACTCTTTTGTAGCCATTCTGTTACAGAAGGTAGTTCCGTCGGTTCTCCGGACCAGGGAAACAGTGGAGGTTGGAAGCCGAGTATACACTTGAAAGGGGTTAGTCCTGTAGCTGGTTTGACCAATGAATTCTGCGCATATTCTGCCCAAAACAAGTATCTGCTCCACTCTGTTTGTTCCTTTTGACAGTAAGCCCTTAAAAAGCGTGTGATTTCTTGATTTAACCGTTCTGTCTGACCGTTGGATTGAGGATGGTATCCTGAGGTTAAGCTGATGTTTACGTTTAAATTTTTAAAGAACGCACTCCAAACCCTTGAAGTGAACTGGGGACCACGATCGGAGACAATGTCTTCAGGTAGACCGTAAAAGCGAAAGACTTGATTGCAGAGAATTTCAGCAGTTTCAAAGGCGGTGGGGAGTTTGGGTAGGGGTATGAGTCGGCAAGCCTTGGAGAACCTGTCAATTATGGTAAGGATGGTGGTGTGTCCCTGAGATTTGAGTAGATCGGTGATGAAGTCGATTGCGATATGAGACCAGGGGCGTTGAGGTGTGGGGAGTGGTGTTAATAGGCCTGCAGGTAGCTGTCTGGGTGTTTTGGACATGTTACAGTTAACACAGTTCTTCACATGCTTAGTGGTATCAGATGCTAGGGTTGGCCACCAAAAGCGGTTTTGGAGGAGCTGGATAGTTGCTGTAATCCCTGGGTGTCCAGAGCTGGGAGTTGAGTGAACGTGGTCGACGAGTCTGATTCTGAGAGATTCCGGGACGTATAGTCGGTTGTCTGGACATGCGGATGGGATCTGGGTGTGATTGTTAACCTGTTGGATTTCTGTGATGATGTCCCATTGGACGGGAGCCACCAGTAGATTGGGTTGGATGATGTTTTCTGAAGCAGGACTCTGAATGGTACCTTCAGCTTGACGGGAAAGAGCATCAGCCTTGATATTTTTGGACCCTGGGCGATATGTGACAGTAAACTGGAAACGGGTGAAGAATAACGCCCATCTTGCTTGGCGAGGATTGAGACGTTTAGCCGACCGTAAATACTCTAGATTCTTGTGATCCGTAAAAATGATGAAGGGCTGACTTGCTCCCTCCAGCCAATGTCGCCATTCCTCTAGTGCAAGTTTCATAGCCAGTAGCTCTCTGTTCCCCACATCATAATTTCGCTCAGCCGGTGAAAGTTTGCGGGAGAAAAAGGCGCATGGATACATTTTCTCTGGATTTCCTTGTCGTTGTGACAATACTGCTCCTACACCAGTGCTGGACGCATCCACCTCCACAATGAACTGCTTCTCGGGATCTGGATGATGGAGGATGGGTGCTGACGTAAATCGGGATTTCAGTTCTTTAAACGCCTGTTCTGCCTCGCTAGACCATTTCAATTTGGATGATGGGCGTTTGGTCATAGCCGTGAGAGGAGCAGCAATGATGCTGAAATTGCGGATAAATCTTCGGTAAAAGTTTGCAAATCCTAGAAAACGTTGTAGTTCCTTTAGAGTCTGTGGTAATGGCCATTCCAGGACCCCCTTTACCTTTCCTTCGTCCATGGCGACCCCCTCATGACTGATAATATAACCCAGGAATGATGTGCTTGTCTGATGAAATTCACATTTTTCAGCTTTGGCAAAGAGTTGATGCTGGATGAGTCGTTCGAGAACTAGTCTGACCTGCTGAACGTGTTCCTCCATGGAATTTGAATAAATCAGAATGTCGTCTATGTAGACTATCACCCACTTGTCCAGCATGTCTCGAAAAATATCATTCATGAAAGATTGAAACACAGACGGACTGTTGGATAATCCGAACGGCATGACGAGGTACTCATAGTGCCCACTAGTGGTAGAAAATGCCGTTTTCCACTCATCCCCCTCTCGGATACGGATTAAATTATAAGCATTGCGTAGGTCCAGTTTGGTGAAGAATTTGGCCTGCCGAAGTTGTTCGAGAGCTGCTGGCACTAGAGGAAGAGGATAACGGAATTTTACAGTGATATCATTAAGAGCCCGGTAATCGATGCAGGGTCGTAAACCTCCGTCTTTTTTCTTAACAAAGAAGAATCCGGCTGCAGCGGGAGAGGTAGACGGACGAATGAAGCCCTTAGCGAGTTCCTCCTGGATATAGGTTCTCATGGCGTCAGATTCGGGTTGTGATAACGGGAATACTCGGCCTCGGGGTGGAGTGGAACCTGGGATGAGATCGATAGCACAGTCAGTGGAGCGGTGTTCGGGAAGTTGGGAAGCCCTCTTCTTGCTGAATGCCTCCCTGAGATCAGCATAAACGATGGGTATCTCTGTTTCCTCAATATTTATTGTTTCTGGATCTGTCTTGGACACTGGGCTTGAATTTTCTCGGGGTAAATCAATTTCACAAACGCTTCGAGACTCGTTATTTGCTGCGTGAGAAGGGGCGCGGATTACCGGGGTTAAACAGCGATCGTGACATGAAAGATTCCATTGTATGATTTGCCCCTCTGACCAGGAAATTTGCGGATTATGAGCTTGTAACCAGGGAAAACCCAATACTATGGGGTGATGAGGTGATTGTATGACATAAAAGCTGATCAGTTCAGTGTGCAGGGAGCTGACGCGTAGTTCAACTTCTTCGGTCTTATTTTGAATTCTTCCTTCCCCTAGGGGTCTGCCATCTAGCGCCTCCACTGCCAAGGAGGAAAGACAGGGAATTAGTTTGAGTTTGCAATGATCAGCGAAAGTATGAGATATGAAATTCCCCGCGGCACCAGAATCTATAAGAGCCATGGCATTGATCTGTTCTCCTCTAATAGTGATAATAATGGGTAATTTAAAGTTAGAAGGTTTCAATAGGCTTTCTGAGCATGAACTCACCGGGCGAGGAGCGGTTGTCGGGCGAACTGGACAGGCGAACTTCAGATGTCCTGACTGGCCACAATACATGCAGAGTCTTTGTTGTCTGCGACGTTCTCTCTCCTCTGGCGTGAGATGAGAGAATCCTACTTGCATGGGTTCAGGTTCGGCGAAATTCTCAGATTGGAAACGTTGGTTAAGCCGGACTGGTCGACGGGAGCGGATCAAAGCATCGACTTGGATGGCCAGGTTGATAAACTCAGATAAGGATTTACCTTCATCACGGCAGGCGAGTTCTGACTGTAGCTCAATAGAAAGTCCTTTGCGGAATAGAGTTTTTAATGTGCTCTCTACCCAGTTGGTTTGTGCTGCGAGGGTGCGGAAGGCGAGAGCATAATCCGCTGCGGATCTATTCCCTTGAGAGAGAGTCAATAACTGTTCACCGGCATCCCCCTGTTCAGATGTATGTTCGAAGACTTGACGGAATTGTTGAACGAACTCGCTGAACGAAGTGAACGAAGAACTGGTATTATTCCACACCGCTGTCGCCCATTCCAGTGCTCGTCCGGTGAGCAGGGAGCAAACAAATGCGATTCGACTGGAATCCGTACTGTACAGGGATGGTTGTTGTTCTACGAAGAGGGTGCATTGGAGAAGAAACCCTTTACATTTGGTCGGATTACCGTCGAATTTGTCCGGAAACGCCAGTCTCGGGGCTAAGGAAGTTGTGGGGTTCACTGGTGGATTCTCTACCGGAGGATTAACAGGTGTAGTAGGCGGATTAGCGATGGCGGATCGTAGCTCTTGCAAACCTTGGACCAGCTTCTCCGTGAGAGTCGTCAGGTGGCTGAGTTGCTGATGATGAAGATCAAGGCGTGAGGCTTGGGACGTGAGCTCGGATGAGATCTGTAAGACCGCTGCTGGATTCGTGGTCGGCGAAGTATTCTGTAACGGCACCCGAGACATGTTTGAATCCATATGCAGCTTTATTGAAGGTAAGTCAGACAGGCAAGGGTCAGAGATCGGCAAGGCAGGGTTATCACAGAACAGGCTCAGAGAATGGTCGAATAACAGGCAGAGAATCAGGACAGGCAGCAAACAACAATAATCCAAAACAATCCGGGTCGGGGCAGGCAGCAGACTAACGAGAGTGGTAGAACAGATCAAGGTCGGTACACAGGAAAGGCAGGCAAGGGAAAACCGCTCAGTCATTACAGCCGTGGCAATGCAATACTTCGCACTGGGTGAATGTATGAGTGTGGCTTATATAGGAAGTCCGATGAGATTCAGGTGTGTGTGTAATCAGTCCCAGTAGTGGTGCATTATGGAGAATGGAGTCCTGCTATGATTAATACTCCGGTGATGGCTCCCTCTGCTGGTTGAGAGGAGGCGGAGCGGGAGCCTGCTCCGTAACAGGCTCATTCTGGAAATTAACATATTAATTAACACTATTAGTTTAAAAATAATGAGTTATTATGGAATTAATCCACAATTACATATTTTAATAATAACAATTCATGTATGAACTAATACATTAACCCTACAGACTCTTAATTAGTTCCTAATGTGGTAATGATTAATGAATAGCTTAAATAATCATTAATTCAGTATTATCTGTGCATTAGTTAAGCATGAATTAATGCTTATTAGTGCACCCATATTGTAAAGTGTTACTGAAATCTCTCCTGAGAAAAATGTAAACATATGGTAACCCTGGTATCCTCTATATGCTTTACGCAGATGCACTTCTACACCAGAGAGTCCAGTAGGGGTCCTTGTGGTTCTCAAATCAACTGGATCTGTGAGACTGGATCCTGTGGCGTCCTCACCAACACACAACCTATGCAGACAGACAGCACAGCTCAAAATCTGTGGTGCCAATCAGAGGTTCACATGGCCACCAATGTCACTAGTAATGGTCCCTTCATTCTGAGGTAATTCTGATGCTACTTTTATATTATAGAACTATTATGTTCTACCTTAAGTTATTGGTAACAGTCTGACATGATCACAATTAATAAAATCCCAAAATGCACATACTAAAAACCTTTAATAGTTTAGGTTAAAGGAATGTTATATGCTAAGTTCTGTGCTTAATGCGTAAAGTGAACTCATGCATTTAAACACATAAAATGCATGACATTAGGAGAATGCATACTGTATGCATTTGATCAAATATCTCTTTCAGTTCCTCTGGTTGCTGCTGGGAGGATAATGTTCAGGGTGTCGGTGGATGGACGCTTCACACTCAAGTTGACATTGGCCAGCGATCTGACACTCAGTCTCCAAACAGATCCCCTGTTTCAGCTGCAATTCCGAACATAAGGTTTGTGCATTTGAATGCATTATTCACATTTGCCTTTATAACAGACACATCTACTAACAGAAAAAAAAGAATCTTGCTCCATCTTCTGTTTGATAATATTCAGGGTTCCTCAGAACTGCTTCCAGAATTTTCCATTGCTGGCACATGACCCAGATGATGATGTTGTGAGATGCAGGTTTAATGATGCCAACTGCACACTGTGCCATCAACATCCAAACATTCATCTTCACAAGGTAATGTTTTGTGTGTTTGTTACTGTATATATATATGTACTGTATATGTATGTATATATATACATGCATATACATACAGTATATAATGGTTTATTCTGCTTTATAGGAATCATGCACTTTGTACACAGGAGATTCACTGGCCCTGGGTGTGCATGTGTTTGAGCTCATCCTGGAGGATTATCCTGTTTCAAACATAACTGTTATGGACCATAATGGGGTCTTCTCTGTCAGTAATGCATTCAATGACAGCAACCCAACTGCTCTCAGTCAAGTGCCTTTGCAGTTTGGAGTTGAAAGTGAGTGAGAATCACATTTGTTCGCTGTAGCACATCTGCCATGGGTCCAACAGAGGAAAGTTGAATAAAAAATAATAATAATGGGTCCAACAGAGATTTCTCCTTTATGCAAAAAAAATAAATAAAATAAAATAAGGACGCTAATAGTATAGATAGCCTTTCAGTAATCACGCAACTGGATTCAATTGAGTAATCTCTTTAAAATGTTTTTTTTTTTTTTTTTTTAACAAAGTTAGTCATCTCATAATTGAATTGAAATGAATATCAGGATAATTAATTTGAAAAAGTAAGAAATATTCAGAGCAATCTCTCAGATTCAAATTCCTAAAACAGTAATCACAAATGACTGGAAAACCAATGCAGATAATACTGAGGTGTGAAATTTATAATCTATAGCTGAATAAAGGCATTGATAAAATAGAAAGAAAGAAATTCAAAAGTACATTTTGAAAGAGTGTAACTGGAGACACAGTATATTTCCGCCTGTAGAGAGAGACATCAATCACCACCAGCAGAACATTAGACATTCATTTGTGTTTGATCGCCCTGAACAACCAGTTTCTGTCAATTCGCAGAATGTGTGCAAGAGTCAGAAACAATTCAATAAATGACAAAAGAAAAATTTTGGATGAACAGGTTCAGTGGTTATTTATATCGTAGCAGGTTGTTAAAAGAAGTAGAAGTGAACTTATGTGTTCACAGTTTGTGGATAATGAAACCCGAATGTGTACTAAAACTGAAACTGTGTATTGTGTGCATTGTTTTTGTGAATTTAAACACAATCTACGGCATCTTTACAGTTCTTCCACCAGCTCAGGGTTGTGTGCCAGGGGTGAACAAGCCAATGTTCTTGACACAAACTCCTTTGCATGGAGATGTACATCATGCTACTGTGGGACAGGCTCACGAGATCACCCTCCAAGCACAGGTCGCAGACAACAGGTCTGAATGATGTTTGGTGTTACTTTTTTGCTACATTTCTGTTGCTATCAAACTTCAACAAAGAGTTGATATATATATGGTATCAAAATATGTCATTTCTTAGTGCAGTGACTTTTTATGCAGTGCAGTGATTAATTAAACTGATTTTAATTTTTCACTAGGTCAAAGCATACCTTGATATGCTCAACTGACAATGTGCCAACAACTTGTTATGTGTGTGGGATGTTATGTGATCTTTCTGTTCCTCTTGTGTAGCATCTTTGACTTCCAGGTCAGTGGCCCCTCTAATATGTCTAAGACCCTGACAAGTTTGAGTAATGGGGTTATGATGGCAACACTGACCTGGATTCCACAGGAGACGGATCTTTTTCGCCATGTACCTGTGTGTTTCACAGCAGAGACACCTCACAGGTAAAAGGGGATCTTAGTTCACCGGTAATTTGTGTTCTCTGTATAATTTCTGAAGAGTTCTCTCCTCTCTTTTCTTCATCAGGCAGTCAGAAATGAGGTGCATTATTGTGGTTGTGGCAAAAGCAAGGGTTCTATCAGGTAAATGTATTTGCAAAAAGTATTTCAATACATATGTGAATGCTTAAGCAAGTACATGCTGTTTGTGAATTAATCTGTGTTTTTGAATAAATCTTTTAAATGAATAAATCATTCTCGCATTAATCGTTCTCAACATTTGAAGCATGTGACATCAAACTTTCTAAAGTTTTATGGCATGTTGTTTGTTCAGTTAAAGGGATACTTCATCTCTGGAAAGATGGATGTGTATTTAAAAAGGGGCGTTTATGTAGAAGAAATGTGAAATTATTTTTGAATTTGGAGCTTTCTAGACTGAGAAAAGCCAGAAAATGTATTTTTGGCTTATGTGGATGAAAGACAACAACTCCCAGAATGCACTTGCTTTGCTGCCCTAGGAGGCCACACCTACCGGTAACAGAGTGAAGTAGTTAAACAACAGGTCTAGGCTACTATTGAGTCTCCGACACCATGATGAGTCTGCCCAAAAATGTGTTTTGAGATCGCTCAAAATGTTAAGTTAGCTAGCGAGCAAACCGGCCAGTCTGCTCACAGACTCGTTTTACCCCACAGTGAAGAGCCAATGAGATGTATTGCAGCCTGGCTGTTGTCATCAATAATTCTCGTTATGTTTGGGTACTGCAGACGGCGTCTGTTTGGGGTTATTATCGCACAATACCAGCAAGAACACATCGTCTCAAACTGTCAGCAGCGTTCTGTGTGCTCGTCACCTGAGTTCATTCTTCCAAGAACAACTAGCAAGAGCGTTCTCCCCAAGAACACAAATCCGTTCTTTGCATTCTAGGTTTTGAGAAACACCCTATGTGTTCCTTCTGTGAGTGAGAGCCAAGGGGGTAATCCATCAGCCGGAAGTTGAAGCCTCGCAGGAGTCGCCATTGTAGCAGAACTTCACCTGCTGTTAGCATATTCCATTGACTCCCATTTGGCATCACTTTGACAGCAAATAACTTTACATCAGAGGCGTCCAAAGACTCCTTTACAGATTACAAGATTACAATGGCCCGGTCCTGCAGATTTGCTTTATACAATCAAGAAGATCAGCCCCTCCTATCAGAGCAGGCCACACAACTCCTTGTCCAATCTCTTGTTATATCCAGACTGGAATATTGTAATGCTCTCTTAACGGGCCTTATCTCAATTCGTAATATCTAAAGACACTGTCACAGTCCTTCGTCTGCACCATCCTGTCTGCGTCTCCAGCACTACACTTCCCATGATCCTTTTGTCTGCACACCTGAACTCACTCCCTCATCAGCCTCCCGTTCAGCGTCCTGTTCATCTGTTTCACCTGTCTTCACCTCATTAGTCCTGATTCCTCTGTGTATTTAGTTCTCCCTCCTTCAGTCTGTCTTTGTCGGTCAATGTCTAATGTTAGCCTGTGTTGCACCTGAGTTCCTGTCTTCCTGCCTGTTTTGAATATTAAATATTATCTTCACCGTTACTCCGGACTCCTCGTTCCTCTGCCTGCACCACAACCCTGACAGACACATTATTCTATTTGTTCCATTTGTTTTTCTGGAACCCTTGCAATGTTTTAACTGTACTAGACTAACTGAGACTTGTCATGGCACTTGTATACTGTTGCCCTCTAGCTGGTCTGATTGCTTCTGTTGTCCTCTTCAGTTGTAAGTCACTTTGGATAAAGGCATCTGCTAAATGATTAAATGTAAATGTAAAATTGAGTTGCTGGGCTGTAACAAACCTTAGTACTCAAGGGAGTTACCTTCAAATTAATTTGGAATAGATTAATTGCTAAAGTCCACTGAGAATGTTGTGAGTTACTGTATTAATTGTGTTCGTGCTCATGTTTTTTTGTCATGATTTAAATGCAGGTTACATAAAAATAGACTAATCATGACTTAATAAATGTATCATATATTTTAAGGTGAAGCAAAGGTCATCTGTGACGATAACAGTATCAGCATTGTAGTCAGTAAAGCCTCCATGGATGGCATTGACCAGGACTGGCTTCAACTGCGAGACCCCACCTGCTCTCTTACTTCCAATCAAACCCACATCCTGGGCACAATGTCCCTCAACACCTGTGGCACTATGATGGATGTATGGAATCTGTTTTATATTCTTCTAAATTCTTTTTGGAATATTGAAGAGTGTTTTCATTCAGATTTTTTGCTTTATTTAACACCAACCAGGACTCTGGAGATTTCCTTGTCTTCCACAACGAGATCAACTCCTTTGAGAACCCGAATGCTGTTATCACCAGACGCAATCAAGTTAAATTTGACTTCTCCTGCCAGTATCCCAAAATAGCCAGTGTGTCCAACCGCTATGTCAACCACAAATCTGACTACATCTTCACTGAATCCAGCTTTGGCACATTTAGTTACTCATTTGAAGTTTTCACAGACCAAACCTTTAACAGTCAGGTAGATCCTAGCCTGTATCCAGTGCAGGTTCAGCTGATGGACAAGATCTACATGGGCATTGAAGCCCGTACTGCTCTCCCAGAGGTCACACTCTTCGTTGAGTCCTGCAGGGCCACTCCTGAAGACAATCCGTTCAGTCCTGTCTTTTATGACATCATCAAAGACGGGTAAGACTTTATCATGAACTAGAGTTTTACATTTTCAGAATGAGCAATGAACTCAAGTTTGTCCTTGGTAATGTTTAAAACACTACAGGACTGTTGCCCCCATGAAATCAAAATGGAAGTTTTTTGGCTTTTACTATGAGCTTTATTGTTTTCTATAAGCTAGCAGACCCCCACACAATGACACAATTAATATTTAGAAGAGTTAAGCGTTCAAGATAAAATTAGTCGCTCACTTCCACCAATATGGATCAATGATTTAGATGACATCATGCTGCACTTCAGCTTTTCATCAGATTTTCTGTCCAATCAAAAGCTATCTAGAATCTAAAAAACGCACCGACCCCAACTTTACAAATAGACATGGAAGCAGCGTCTAAAATCGGTAATTTGTTCACTCAGTTACTATTTTCTATATGGTAAATAGCACATAGAGTGCACTATACAGGGAATAGAGAATGATCGAGGCAGTGCAAATATGCCCTGTGTCACACAAACCACCAGAGCGCACACACTCTTCTCCAGTCCAGGGACACATAGCACAAATCATCTGCAGAATATCTGGGCGAGTCTATGCATACCAGAAAACATATCGGACCCATTTGAATTCTGCACAGAATGCTATATTTTAAAGCAATAAGGAGGAAATTAAGAGAAGAAACGGTTAGAGACTAGAAGGAAACTGCGGCTTTACCGAGCTCAAACTAAATGCTACTGGCTATTTTTTAAAAAGGGGAGGAGCTGTTTTTTGTCCTGCCCGGTTTTCCTGTTTCAGTGGAAATTACATCAACACATTGAATAATGCTGCAAACACTTGATCTGCTACTGATCTTTAGAAGTGATTCCTGTGAACTTGGAATGGACTGAAATGGCACAATAGAGTTTAATAATAAACAAAAATTAATAATATAATCAATAAGACATACATACACCATTCCAGCAGGGACACATTAAATTGATCAAAGTGGCAGTAAAGACATTCATAATTTTACAAAATATTTATATTTCCCAGGGCAGCCTACCAGAGATAGAGACCTAGAATATGACCTATAAGGCAGGCTCGGGTTTGGGACCGGAACCTGAGGGTATGATATCAGAAAAACACCTGAGAGTCGAGACTGACTAGGTTGCAGTCTCCACTCTGTACAGAATGTCTGCACCAGTGTTTATGGAGCATAGTATCGCTCTCACTGAGCAGAGATTGTCCTGGGATTGTCCAAGTGCAAGCCTGTTCAGCAGACGAGACCTAAAACACCCCTTATAATTTATATGCTGCCACTGTATTGCTGTCCTACCAGACCAGGACATGGTGCCCTCTGAGTTCTTGCTGGAATTCCTTGAAGGCCAGAAGTACCATTTCCAATCAGTTGATGTGCCAGCCCAACACTTCAGAATCAGCTAGGAGATGATCTTTGCACTGAAATTGTTCCCGGTTTCTGCAGGTTGAAAAGCCACTTGTCATCAGGCTTCAGGAATCTGAGAAAACTGAGTTTACCCCTAGTGTCAGAAAAGACTAACGCAATGCAAGTGAACTGTATCAAAAGGGAACTGTAATTATTTACTGTAATATTCATAATATTACTGTTTCTAATCAAATTTGCAGCTTTCGTGAGCAGCATTTGCTGAAAAAAAATCTCATTAGGCATGATGAATGTTTTGTGTTGCATTTTCTCTTTAACTTGAAAAATACTACAATTCCAAGTATTTATCCAACCACTGGGAAAAATAATGAAACTGAACACCGTCAAGATGTGTTATTCGATTGTTATTTCAGGTGTGTTATGGATGAAACAGTCATGTCTTACCCAAGTGACTCCACAAAATATGACTTTGAGATCCAAGCTTTCAAGTTCACAGGAGGCTTTGATGAGGTGTGATACATTTGCATAACAATAATGTGTAAAATGTTTTGAGCAAGAACCTTTCAATATAATAATCGTGTTGACAGGTGTACATTAGCTGTTCCGTGATCCTGTGTGCAAAAGACAGCTCGAACTCCAGATGTGCCCAAGGCTGCCTCGGTCAAGCTGCTCGCAGACGTAGGCGAGACGTGAGCCAAGAAACAGCTAGCCACTACATCACCCAGGGTCCCCTTCGTGTGGCAAGACAGACTCATAATTCTGCAGGTATATGAATATGGTTTAAAGGGGTCCAATTATGCTTTTTTTTTACATTCACATTAACTTTCTTTAGTGTGAAATGTTGCTGTTTGAGCACGAAGAAGGTCTGAAAAGTTACAAAGCACAAAGTCACTCCAAAGGGAGTTATTGTCTGTAGACTATCAGTAAGCACTGTTTCTGAGCTCCCTGAAATGCCTTGATTGTACTCTTGAGTTTCTTCCATTAACGTAGTACTTGTAATTTCACAATATTTCTCATTTAAATAATTTCCACCCAGGAAAAAAAAAGCTTTAGGGGTGTGATTTACAATATTTTTGAACATTAAAGCATGAAACATTAAAGTGGATCACAAAAACAAAATCAGACTTTGAAAAAGAGAATAATAGGTCTTTAAAACAACAGTTTTCATTTTTGACTTAATTATTCCTATATATATATATATATATATATATATATATATTTCTGTCATTATTTTCTATTTAACTCTTGCTCTTTCATTTTGTAGCCTCAAATGATGGTGGATTTCTACACATGAGCACAAGCACTGGGGTCTTTGCAGGACTCTTTGTCGTCTCCATTGCGGTGGTGGCAGGGATGTTGGTATATAATGCCAAAAGAACAAGATCAGTTGATCGCATGCATCTACTGTCCACTTTCTGAGATCCTTTAAGTGCCCAGTTTGAGTAGACACACAAAGAACACAATGAACTGCAATTAAACTCTTTCCATTTTGATAACATATCTTATACAAGAGCAGTAAATGAACAGTTTTTGAGGGTAAATGGTATAATCGCACAACAATGGCCTTTGGTATGGCTGGTATTGTCCCAAATCTTTCAGCATATTGTCTTTTTTCCCCCCACTTATTTCCTTCTTTACTTTCACTCAACATGCTTCACAGAACATAACATGCTAAAAAAATATTATGAATGGTCTGGCATTTTTTGGGATGAAATGTTGTTTAAAGAAAATAAACGTTTAAAAATTAATGTTTGTGTTTTGGGGCAGTGACAAGCAATAAGCATGTTTCTGTATTCTTGAAATAAAAAGTCTATTTAAGTATTTATTGTGATGTGTTGGTCCATTTGTGCAGAAAGTTTTTATTCAGTCATTATTGCATGGAAAATCACTTTATGTTTCCTCATTACAAGAAAAAAAGAACTGGATTCATTGGAGAAGCATCTCACATAGGGCAATGCTAAAAGAATTAAGTATACGGATGGGGTGAGAATTGTTGCATTATTCCAAATAAATAGATCATGATGATCCACAAATATATATATAAAGAGATTCACAAAAAAATATATCAAATTCACAAATAAATATATTAAGATACACAAATTAATGGAAAGAGTTTCACAACAAAATATAAAACTCACAAATAAATAAAATTAGATTGGCAAATAAAAATATTACACATTTTTTATGCCACAAACACGAGGTGTAGACAAATCCACCACAAATAAGTGGACTCCACCCACCGTTTCCTCAAGCCAATTCGATAACAGACACATTGAGCTGACCAATCATAGCACGTTCTTGACTACAACCAATCATGTTAGGTTTTACACTTGGGGTGGGAACTGAATCTGATTCATTTTGAAGATATTTGCACCCTTGATATGGAGCTGTAAACTATGGGTGTTTCTTTAAAATGTAGCTATTTGTGTAGTTAAAACACCCTGTTTCCAAAAGGTTATTGGTGTTTAAGGCTGTTTGTCCACCAAAGCAGTTTTAGCCAGCTGAAAACGCCAGGCGCTCTGCTGAAGACGCCGTGCTTTGGGCGTTTGAGAGCGTTTTGGCAGCACAGCGTTTTTTCCATTGAGACGTTTCGTTGCTGTGATACAGAATATCCGCAGCACAGTTTACTTGTAACCAGGGACGTGCACAGACATTTTGAGGGGCAGGGGCTCAAGTGAAAAAAAGGGCACTTATAATTAAGTTTTTTTTTTTTTTTTTACTTTTTTTTAAACAAAAAAGTATATGTATATAAATATATATATATTAACTCAACTATAACTTTTTAAAAAATGTATCCTCTCCTTGAACTGCCACCTTAACATGGTGGAGGGGTTTGAGTACCCGAGTGACTCAAGGAGCTATGTTGTCTGGGGCTATATGCCCCTGGTAGGGTCTCCCAAGGCAAACAGGTCCTATAGGTGACAGGTCAGACAAAGAGCGGCTCAAAATCCCTTATGAATAAAATAAAATCAAGGACCGTGACGTCGCCCGGTATGGTGCAGCAGGGGCCCCACTCTGGAGCCAGGCCTGGGGCTGGGGCTCGTATGCCAGCACCTGGTGGCCGGGCCTCTCCCCACGGGTTCCGGCCGGGCTCAGCCCGAAGGAGCGACGTGGAGCCGCCTTCCCATGGGCTCACTACCTGCTGGAAGGATCATAAGGGGCCGGTGCTGAAAAGATCGGGTGACAGTCAGGCAGGGCCTCGACGACCCAATCCCTGGACACAGAAACTAGCCCTAAGGACGTGGAACATCACCTCTCTGGCGGGGAAGGAGCCTGAGATTGTGCATGAGGTTGAGAGGTTCTGACTACAGATAGTTGGGATCACCTCTACGCATGGCTTGGGCTCTGGAACCACACTCCTCGAAAGAGGATGGACTCTTCACCACTCTGGCGTTGCCCATGGTGAGAGGCGACTGACTGGTGTGGGTTTGCTTATAGCCCCCCAGATCAGCCGCCATGTGTTGGAGTTTACCCCGGTGAACCAGAGGGTCGTTTCCCTGCGCCTACGGGTCGAGGATAGGTCTCTCACTGTTGTGTGTGCCTACGGGCCAAACGCCAGTGTAGAGTACCCGGCCTTCTTGGAGTCTCTGGGAGGGGTGCTGGAAGGTGCTCCAACTGGGGACTCCGTCGTTCTACTGGGGGACTTCAACGCTCACGTGGGTAACGATAGTGACACCTGGACTCCCATCAACTCAAATCTTCGGAGCCACGACTGGATCCTGAGGGAGGCTGGAGATATTGAGTCTCAGTGGACCATGTTCTCCACCTCCATTGTCGAAGCTGCTGCTCGGAGCTGTGGCCGTAAGGTCTCCGGTGCCTGTCGAGGCGACGATCCCTGAACCTGGTGGTGGACACTGGAGGTATAGGATGCCGTCAAGCTGAAGAAGGATTACTATCGAGCCTGGTTGGCTTGTGGGACTCCTGAGGGAGCTGAAAGGTACCGGCAGGCCAAGCAGACTGCAGCCCGGGTGGTTGTGGAGGCAAAAACTCGGGCCTGGGAGGAGTTCGGTGAGGCCATGGAGAAGGACTATCGGCTGGCCTCGAAGAGATTCTGGCAAACTGTCCGGCACCTCAGGAGAGGTAGTCAAGAAACTCCTCAGTGGCAAGGCACCGGGGGTGGATGAGATCCGCCCTGAGTACCTCAAGCCTCTGGATGTTGAGTGGCTGTGTTGGCTGACACGCCTCTGCAGCATCGCGTGGCGGTCGGAGACAGTGCCTCTGGAATGGCAGACTGGGGTGGCGTTCCCTCTTTTTAAAGGGACTCTGTGTAGATTTTTAGGTATTTTATAATCTGAAATCAATATTTTTATTCATAAATATGTCCTCAATGGTGTACAAATACCTCTGCAAATTATCTGACTTATCCTCGTAAATGAAGAATGTATTATCTTTATGTACATGGGACGGGTAGGTTCACGGAGGCTTCCATGTCGTTCCGCCATCTTGAAAAACTATAATAGCAGAGAGGGTCAAAAAGTACTACCAGCCAAACGCGTTTCCACAACGCGTTTTCGTTCAGACTCAGAGCCATCGTCACGTCACATTGAGAGGCGCATTCCCTGCAAGTTTAAACGGCTGCATTGCACTCCTATGATTGCTGATTGCTCTATTATTTGTAATGGCGGACCATATGCCGAGTCACAGGAGAATGCATCCTCCTCGCAAAAAAAGGCCAGACTTGAACGAAAAAGGAAACGTGACCGGAGATTGCAAAAAACAAGGCCATTAATTTTTCCGTCATAAAATTAATCGGATCGGGTTCGATTTTCTGCGTTTTTCGCATCCAGAGCCAGCATTTTGAAAGGTCTTTTGACAATTCAGGGCGGGGGGAGCTCGTCCTCAAATCATTGCACATATGCGCCGTGCTTCAGTTTCGGTTTTCAATTCGATCAAGTGTTTATGTTCTCTTCTCTATATTGGATTATGAAATTAATAAACCTCCCCTTTCAATCAGATTGAAATTTAGGATCGAATAAGGTGTGATTGAGCAGCCTATTCGATAACTAATGTATTATTTGGGCACAATATATACACAATACACAATAACAGCCTAGCTGTTCTGTCTGCCCAGCGCTTCCACCGGGCCGCGTGCGGGTGTGTGTGTGTGTGTGTCCATACCTGGTCCATACCAGACACACTGCCAGTCTCCATTCAGAATCGATTGGTTCACGGAAATTAGTTGTCTTGTTTTTAATATGTGGCTCCAGAATCGCTAGCAGAGCATCAAACTGTCCCACTGACATTCTGAGGTAAATTTTGAATCGCTCAGGATAAATTCGCAACTCCTTGATAAAGGTTTAATAACTCCACAAAGGTTTAATAAATACGCAACGGACTCGGTGTGCAAGGTTTCTATGCGTGACAAATTTTTAGGCTGACGTACACGAAAATACGCATACGAAAATTTCGTACTCAGTGTGCAATGGCCTTAAATATCGGGATAGCGTTTTCAAGGTGGAAAGAGCTAATGCAGCAGAAAGATTTCAGAAGAGACGCTGAAGTTGCCTGCTTTCTCCTCGACAGGTTAGTCAATGTTACAGTCTTACTTAATTTTTTTTGTCATTGCTTGGTTGTGTACTTTATTATATAGACAGTATAACATTTATAGGTAAAAAAGTTAAACAAGGTCTTTGATGAATAGCAGCTATTGACTACTTTACTCGCAGCTATTGTGAAGGAAGGTGCTAAAAACAAGGTTTGTAAGTTAATTCTTTCTAACCTATAAATTCAGTAAGAATATAGAGATAATGATTGTAAGAAAATATTGAAGAAAATATTGCTCTCTGTAAGATTTTCTATAGCTTTCTTTTTTTATATAAATGATCAATTAGCTAAAATTGTGATTTTGCTATGTGGATAAGATTGTACAGACAATTAAAATTAATTTATACAGCTAGACACATAAATTGTACAAACCTCGGTCGCTTCTCTTCTCTGCCTTTGAAAACGTTCAATTCTACTTTGATCGTCTCTTGTAATTGCCGGGTATCTTTGTCGTCGTGTTGACTCTCGCGCTCCTCGTCGTCCATCTCCTCGCCTAACGTTAGATCCCACTGATCCACTGCCTCTCTGTCCTCTCCCTCTACCTCTTCCTCTCCCTACTGCTGAATCATCCGATGATGATATCTAACAATCACGTAATTATACGGATAAAGGCGGCATTACTACTAATTACAACAGTTCATGTTTTTCAGTGTCAGCAACTCATACTGTAACATTCGTTTGTTCGTTGTGTCAAGTTGCTGTTTTTTTTTTAAGTTACAAACCTGTTCACCCGGAGAAAAACTCGATGAAGTGTTACTACAAGACATCCTGTCATAGCATTTTTGGTACATAACGGCAACCGTAGATGCAATACGCACTTGAAAAAGCGAGGCGCTGGAGAGCAAAATTCGTTTGAATGCAAAATACTATTTAACCACTAGATGGGGGTAATTCCTACACAGAGTCCCTTTAAGAAGGGGGACCGGAGGGTGTGTTCCAACTACAGGGGGATCACACTTCTAAGCCTCCCTGGGAAAGTCTATGCCAGGGTGCTGGAGAGGAGAATACGGCCGATAGTGTAACCTCGGATTCAGGAGGAACAGTGTGGTTTTCGTCTGGGCCGTGGAACACTGGACCAGCTCTATACCCTCTATGGGGTGCTGGAGGGTTCATGGGAGATTGCCCAACCAATCCACATGTGTTTTGTGGATTTGGAGAAGGCATTCAACCGTATCCCTCGCGGCGGCCTGTGAAGGGTGCTCCGGGAGTATGAGGTCCGGGGTCCTTTACTAAGGAGCTTGGTTCGCATTGCCGGCAGTAAGTCAGACTTCTTCCCGGTCCATGTCAACTGGGGACTGAAGGGGTAGATTCTGGAATTCACTGCTGCTTCAATGTATATCTAATGTGATTATAATCAAGGAATTAATCAATACTTTCCTTCTAAATATCAAATGAGTTGAATGACTTCTCTTGGCTTGTGAGTTTTACATTATTATAGAAGTTACCAGTGTGATTACTGAAATGTTCTTTTCATGTATTCTTGTCAAGGTTTTGGTTTTAATCTTAGTTGGTGATAGAGCTCTGACATTCCCGCTTTGTCATATTGTGTTCTAGTCCTGTTTGTTGTGAGCATTTGGCTTGTCATGTGTTTCTCTGTGCCATGTGCTCTCCTGTCTATTGTCTATCCGATTATTGTTTAATTTGTTCCACCTGCCTTTCTTGTTTCCCTCCTTTTGTTTGTTGCCTATTTATTCTCCCTGTGTTTTGTTTTGTTTGTTTATTATCTGGATTTATTTTTGTAGTTACCTAATAAACCGTCTCATTCTCCACACTTGTATCCTTGCTTCACTTTGAACCCAACCGTGACAATTCCCTAATGTCTGTATTTGATATCTGAGTGCAGTAACAGTGCTTGCACATTTAGTCTGGTTTCCAGAAATGAGATAAGGATTTGTTTTGTTTTAGAAAGGTCATTGATATGTCACTATGTCCATCTGCTATTCTAGGGTACCCTCACAACCAAGGTCAAAGGGGTTATTCATTAAGGGACAATTTCTTTGTTAAAGCCTTCCTTTACTTGATATTTTGAGAAGATTCTCCTATTTATAGTTAAAGTCTCGGCAAATCTAACCTTGGAAAAGGTGTGTGTGTTAGTCTTTTTTGGTTACAGGTTAAGGAACCACTGGCAGTATTGGAGATTGACTGAGTTGTTGTTCTGGACAGGCTGGCACCATGCAACCCAAATCTGCGACCTGGAAGGTCACAATCTGCCTAACTTCATGGTTCGAGTGCCAGCTGCTTAATCGATGGAGATATGCTTCAGTCTCTGTATATGTGTGGAAAATTACTTCTATTTTCTGTTGCTTAGCCAATGAAAATCATTCACACTGAAGCAAGGACGTATAGCTTAGACCTTTGTGAAGGGTATAATTGCTCTGATCTTTGTAACTGTAACCGGGTGGCCTAGGAACTCCTAATGAGTTTCGAAGCTGACTTATGCTTGATGAAACTGCAAATTATCTTCAGTGTAACTTTTCAATTTATTATTATTCTGATTCCGTGTCTTCATCCATGTAAATACCCTAACAGAGTCTTTCTTAGGTATGTTATGTTTAATTTTGTTTCCCCAGTGACCTAGTTCTGTTTGATTAGTCATTTACTTACATGCATGGTATTTTAATTATCTCATTATCTCTTTGTTTCCCTTGTTTAATTCCTCTATTGTTTTGTTCATTCCTTGTCCAGTACAGTGGATTTGTGTTTACAGTGTTTATACCCCATCTCCTGATTTTTTAACTAAAGACTATTTCATTGTTCTCTTTGTCTTTGTGAGCTTATATCCAGCCTCATGACAAAAGACAGGATCGTAACAGTTTTATTTATGTTTTGTCGATTAAGGGTGAATTTTGGTATTCTTCATGCTGTCTTGCTACCACACATTACACGTATATTGTATAATGAACAAGAGTTTGTTTTGGTTTTATGTGCCATTTAGGCTAGACTAAATCTGACTGCACAATTTTAGACTAATGTGAGGAAAAAAGTAATGGTGAGGTTAGTCTCTATAAAATGAGTATTAATTGTCATGAAATATGTGAAGGGGTACAACGGGGCGCAACTGGGTAAAAGGCCCCTTTGATTTTATTTTCCTCTAAACCACTAGATTGCACAAAAACTTGCCGCACACTTTCCAAAACATCCGCTTTTCAAGATGCACATGGAAATTTGGCTGATCCAGAATTTCACTTGTGTTTTATTTTGCTGGATATTTCAGGTCTAGATTATTGTTTAATTCTCTGTAATCGATAGTGAAAGAATTTTTTACCTGTCCAACCTGTAATTCTCAAATGACAAGTTTTAGCTGATTGTATTTACATTGTTTTCTGTGAATCAAAAAAAAAAAAACATTTCCTGTTTCATAGCTGACACATCCATCATGCCAAAAAAAAGAAAGAATTTCTCTCAAGTAGTGCATTTGATGTATGATCATGAGTTTAATGTAGTTCTATCAATCCAACTTTGATAAATCATCAACAAGCACATTTCAAGGTCTGAAATAAACTTTGATCGTTTGAGATTTGCTCTTTCACTGCTGTGGGTAAGGCATGTGTAATTTGAGAGAGCAAACTGGTATTATCTAAATGGATTTATAACTTAAGCCAGGCCATTGTTATAGAGGAGTGTTGGCATCCACGGAAAATTACAATAGAGCTAAACATTTTCACTGAGCTATTTAAATCCTATAATCTACAACTAACTGATACAGAGATATCCATTATTTGCAATTTAACTAATGAAAATGTGAGATGTTATACCATATTTGCCACTGAAGGTGTGCAAATAAAAGATAGAAAGCAGTTTTTTTTTGTTTTGTTTTTCCAGACCAGCTTGCCCCTAGTGGACACTCATGACAATGCCATACTGTGCATGTGGATGAAAAGGTGTGTGCTTTTGGTCAGATCAGTGTTTGGTTTCAGATTTTAACCATGTGACTTCTTAGAAGAAGCAAGTAACTACCCTCTAGTTTTGTTTGTGTGTGTGATTTAGTGCAACACTTTTGAACCCATCCCTGAATTCCTGCTCACCTGAGATGTATAAAAGCAGATGGCCCGGTGCAGTTCACAGGTAGAGTGAGGTCTCGGCATACTCGGAGGTATGATGTTCTCAGCGCTGTTGTTGAATCTTCTGCTTCTGGTGTCCATTGCTTCAGCAGGACACTATTATGGAGGCTCAGTGACCTTCAGCCCTAAAGGAGCCAATGCAGATGGGAGCATGAGGGTGAGAATTTATTTTTATCTGCATGGGAAAAAAATTATGAAAGTGTGGAAGTATACATCAAATTATATGATACTTCTTTTTATTTATAAAAATATAAAAATTATTTATATATTTATAATATATATATATTTAAGCAGTTATGTCTTTTAGGATAAAAAATGTAATGATTTAATTAATAATTATTTTATTATTCTTTTTTTTACTTAATGATAAATGATAAATATAGTGTCGTCATGCATCCTAGTAAATCTTCAATATTTATCAATAGTTACTAATCGCAATATAATACTTATGAATTCCACTCTCATTGTGGTCCTTCGCACATATGCATACCTAACTTATCACTCTTTCTTCCTAAAAATAGAAAATGCATGGGTAAGATAAATACAAATAAATATATAAAACAAATGTTTTGAAGATTTGAAGGTTTTCACTAATGTGAAAAGATGGGGAGAAGCAAACATGGAAATAAGTAAGATGGTGAAAGTCACGTAATATTTAAAATTTGGTGAAAACTGGTTAAAATCATGTGATAATATTTATTGGTGATGAGTATTTCTGACTTGTCTATATCACACCAAAATATAAAAAAGAAATGCATCAATAGAAAAAAAAAAACTCTTCAAGTTTTCAAGTGTTTTAAACTCTACTATTTTCTTGCCAACAGGTTGAGTTTCGACTAAAGCGAACCTATGACTGGTGTGATTATGGTTATTGGTACTGCGCCTCTGGGGATTGTGGCAATGAATACACAAATGGGCAAGGTCAAATCGATAGAAGCTCGAATGGCAGAAGTGCTTATACCAACAGCTGGTGCCAAACGGAAACTGTTATCACAAGAAACATCCATGGAAACACACCCTTTGACCTGCAGTAAGTAATTCAATCAGTTTTAAATCATTTGACAACAACTGAAATATTGAAGTGTCCAATCATAATAATCTTAAATGCATCATTCCATCTCAGGGACTCCTCGTGCTGCTGGGTGCCCACAGTGAACGGTCTTGGTTCTTGGTTCCTCAGGACACACGTAGATCTAGGCATAAGAGCTGATACTAATCAACCCAACCGATCACCTGTCACAACTATTTTCCAACTTCTACGGTAACCCTTATTTTTATTGAATGTAGTTTTCCATGAACAAGATTAATAGACGTAATGAGAGTGCAAAAAGGACGCATGATCTTTTTTCTAAATTAGTAACATAAAACATGATTGTGTTTTTTTATATATTTTTTTCATTAGTGTTCCCCAAAACTGTCCTCGTACATACCACCTGATGGCCTATGACCCAGATGGTGACCAGGTCAGATGCAGATATGGAATTCAGCAACAAGTTGAATGTGACAGATGTGACCAGCCAAGTGGTTTCAGTGTAAATCAAGTAAGAAACAGAGTTTAGGACAAACTGATTCACTGCAATGAATAGGACTTTCCAATGCTACATAGAACGAGAGGAGAGCCATGGGATGAAACACGCCAATGAATCTTTCCTAAGCTAGAAATGAGAGGAGGACATTTTAAGATGAAATAATTGACTATAATGAATTGAATTTTCAATGTTAAATACAAGACAGATCCAGTTTTGCTGGTTACCTCCTCTCACTCAGCAGGAAAGTAATACAAATGCTGTGCATTCATAGAAATAGCAATCGTGACTTGTGTCACACCCTATAAAATATAGAGGCCTACAGACCTATTGTTGTTTTATTAGTTTCATTTTATTTTTTACATCATTAGGATTTTCACCATTCTGGTGACTGATCCACTCAATAAGTGTTGCTAGAATGTTCTAGAAATAAAACAAAATGAACATTCATTCACTGTAATGCACATCTCAATTCATCATTAGGATGCCTGTACACTAGACTACAGCTATGCCTACAACACAGGCGTCTATGGATTTGAGATGATTCTGGAGGACTTCCCAAGGAAACACACCACCCTGGCCTATACTGATGGCTCCAGCTCTTACAGATGCTCTCTAAATGGAAGACACAGTAGGTCAATTGGCTCAACAGCATACCCATGGTATTACCAACAAAGTACCACAAATGTACCATGGTGGCAACAGCAACAAAGTACAGCTTCTGCTTCATGGTGGGGGTGGTGGCAACAGCAACAGCAACAATCGACCACCGCTCCACCTACAACTTCTGCTCCATGGTGGGTGTGGTGGCAACAGCAACAATCGACCACCGCTCCACCTACAACTTCTGCTCCATGGTGGGTGTGGTGGCAACAGCAACAATCGACCACCGCTCCACCTACAACTTCTGCTTCATGGTGGGGGCAGTGGCAACAGCAACAGCAACAATCAACCACCACTCCACCTACAACTATGCCATGGTGGTGGTGGCAGCAGCAACAATCAACAACTCCACCTACAGCATCCCAGTGGTGGTGGTGGCTGCAGACCACAAGCACAACCACAACAACAAGCTCACCACAACTGTACACGACTGCTGTAGCTTCACACCAGCGTTCTTACGAACCTTTCAGCAAGATCCCACTGCAATTCAGTGTCCTTGGTAAGGCTTTCTCAACGATTAGCTAAACAAGAACACAAGGTCCTTATTTTAGTGTTATCAGTGGTTTCTAATTTCTGTTTTGAATCATTGCAGTTGATTCACCAGCTCCTTCCTGCACTGAGGGACATTATATACCTCGCTTTGTGTCGCCAACTCCACGCAACGGAGAAGAAATCCAAGCGACACCACTCCGAGAACTGGAAATTCGGGTTAAGGCTGCAGCAGCATATTCAACGTGAGGGCTCATGTGTGAATTAGACCTAATGCAAGCAATGATAAAGATTATTAGATGGGTGTATAACATGCTTTTCTTTCATTCTAGGGTTTATGATGTCCTTATCAGTGGTCCTCTGAACATAACTAAGCATGCTTTGAGCAATGGAGAGTACGCCATCAGATGGACACCAACGAGGAGTGACCTTGGGGATCATTTCCCTGTGTGTTTCATTGCTGAGAGCACAAGCGGGTGGGCAAACTATCCATTTGATTCTAAATCAAGCAGCTAGCAACCTTTCACATGTACTGAATTGGATAAATATTTCTAATTTTATATTTACAGAAGCAGCGTTTATCAGTCTGAAATGAGATGCGTCATTGTCACTGTTGGACACCAGTCTGGTTAGTATCACTTTTTTACTTGGAACAACTAGGTAGCCATACAAACACTGTGTAATTTTGGTTAAAAAAAATTATTGATTGCATTTACAGTGGAGGCAAATGTGATTTGCACTGGGAGCAACATAGTGATCGAAATTGAGCAGCTGCACTCTGTCGGGCTCCACAAAGACTATCTGCGACTCAACGATCCTGCCTGCACTTTGGTCTCAAATGGCACTCATGTGTTGGCAAACTTTTCTCTCAATGCTTGTGGTACCATGATTGAGGTAAAACTTTTCTCGTGTGCTCAAGTAACAGTTTAGCAAAAATGACACGGTTGTCATAATTTATAATCATGTCCTTCCGACCCCATTTCGTTTTCTTCCATGAAACAGCCAATGAGATATTAGGTAAAACTTGTCTTTTCTTAACAATGAAAGTAGACGGTGATTTATACTACGGGGCTCAAAAAAGGCACCAAAAAGTCAATGCTATCTCATGACCAATTCGTACGAGTGAGTAAAAAGTTAGCTAATTCGTACGAATTTGTACGACCTCACTCGTACGAATTAGTACGATTTGTCTGAACCCACGTGATGATTAGGTTTAGGGGCGGGGTCATGTGTAGGTCCTTTGTGTGAATTCATACAAATTGGGCAACTCGCAAAATATGTACAATTTAGCAAAAATGTACAAATTGGTACGAGTGATGTCATATGAATTCGTACGAATTAGCCACTTCATAAAAATTGTAGGAATAATCATCCATTGGACTTCTTTTGTGTGTGTGTGTGCTTAGCTAGTTACCATTCACTTAGATTGTATAGAAAACAGAAGCTTGAACATTCAATGATCTCTTTTAGCATTTCACAGGTTGGAATGACACTGGAATGCGCAAATGATGCCAAAAATGACATTTTAGGGAGAAACATTTTAAAGGGTTAGTTCACCCAAAAATGAAAATTAAGTCATTTATTACTCACCCCATGCTGTACCAACCCCGTAAGACCTTCGTTCATCTTCGGAACACAAATAAAGATATTTTTGATTGAATCTGAGAGCTAGATCAGTCCTACATAGACTGCCTAAGGGACTGGCTCTTGACGGCCCATAAAGTCATTAAAGAAAAGGTTTAAATATTCCATGTGCCTACAGCGGCTCAATTATAAGTTTATCAAGCGACGAGACTACTTTTTGTGCGAAAAAAACATAAATAACGACTTTATTCCACTATTCCATTACTTCCTTATGGGCGCATACGCGAGAACTGAGACGAGGACATTCTCATTCGTCTACTTCTTGTTACCGACTGCTCCGCTTAGGAGTTTTACCGCCCCCTACCGTATAAGATGATGTGCTGATATAGCTGGAAGCGCAAAACTTTCTGTTTACAAGCAGAGGAAGATGCGCGCTGTACATACGCTTTTCAATTTGCATGTTTTCCGCACTATAAGGTGCACTTAAAAGCCTTTAATCTTCTCAAAAAACGACAGTGTTCCTTATAATCCGGAGCGCCTTACATATGGATCATCATCTTATACGGTAGGTGGCAGTAAAACTCCTAAGCGGTGAGCAGCCGGTAACAAGAAGTAGACGAATGAGAACGTCCTCGTCTCAGTTCTCGCACATGGGGAAGTAATGGAATAGTGGAATAAAGTCGTTATTTGTGTTTTTTTCGCACAAAAAGTAGTCTCGTCGCTTGATAAACTTATAGTTGAGCCGCTGTAGGCACATGGAATATTTAAACCTTTTCTTTAATGACTTTATGGGCCGTCAAGAGCCAGTCCCTTAGGCAGTCTATGTAGGACTGATCTAGCTCTCAGATTCAATCAAAAATATCTTAATTTGTGTTCCGAAGATGAACGAAGGTCTTACGGGGTTGGTACAGCATGGGGGTGAGTAATTAATGACTTAATTTTCATTTTTGGGTGAACTAACCCTTTAAGTGCAGTTTATATCTCATAATCCACTTTTTTATTACAGGAGGATGAGCAGTACATCATTTTCAAGAATGAAATTTTCTCAACTGATGATCCAAACTCAATAATTACCAGAAAACACGAGGTAGAGATTGAGTTCTCATGTCGTTTTGAGAAGAAAAACAACATCTCAATGGAGTTCACAGCACGGAGACACACAACCACCATCACTGAGAGAGGCTTTGGAACCCTCACCTACCGCTTCGGGCTCTTTCAAACAGTAAATTACAACCAAGAAATAGACGTGATCTCATATCCAGCAGAGTATGATCTTGGGGAGATGATTTACATGGAGATTGAATCCCAGTCTTCAATCAACAACACTGAGCTTTTCGTCGAATCATGTGTAGCAACACCATACAATGACCCCAACTCCCAAGCATCCTACACAATCATCCAAAATGGGTAAGAACAATCGACCATGAGCTGCAGACACAAATTAGCATTGGTAAATAGTGAAACTAATTAACTCACAATGGATCTTCATCAATTTGATTTTTTTCAGGTGCATCATGGATGAAACTGTGGAGTTCTACACGAGCCACCAACCAATGGCTCGGTTTGGCCTGCAGGCCTTCCAGTTTATTGGAAGGCATGATCAGGTAAAAATATATTATTAATTACACTACAATGATAGGAGACAACATACACCAACATGATGCTGCTACTGACTGATCAAAATGAAGTATTCCAGAGAGCTGTGACATCATCACTTTCTTTCTCCCTAGGTGTTCATCAGCTGTTCTGTGATTCTGTGTGAGGCAAACAATCCCAACACCCGCTGCTCTCAGGGTTGCACCAACAGCACAAGCGCTCCACCATCCCACCACCATCACAAAAGAGAGGCTCCCATTCAGACCAGCAGTCACTTTGTCTCCCAGGGGCCCCTGCGACTGAAGAGGAGCGTTGAGGGTGAAGGTAAAACTTCAGAAACATGTCAACATATAAGACTTTTTCATAGAATGTGATACTATCTTAAAGGTGCATTAAATGTTGTTTTGGCTGAAAGCACAATAGAGTCTTTTACGATCATTTGTGAATTACTTTTAATTTTATTAAACGTCGCGTTGTGTGTTTTCCAGTGTCCTCCACGGTCTTGAACCTGAATATGGTTTTCATTGCCGGATGTCTCCTGGCAGCTGTTGGCATGGTGTGTGGGGTTCTCATCTACAAAACCAAGAGAACAGAGGTCAAATATCAACCTCTTCAATCAAATGAGATTTAATGGATCGGTCTCAAACACTACACAATTATTTCATCTTTGCTCTCTCTGGGAAGGTTATGGTTTTGAAAGATTTGTTTCTGTTTGATCGCTTTTAAATATTGTGTTATAATCCATTTATGGTTGTTAGGGTTATTTTTCATAACCTATTTCACAGTTTTGGTATCTTTTTCTTGCACCCTTTAGATTGCTAATGATAAATTATATATATATATATAATATCTGATTGATTTAAAAAAAAATGTCAAATAATGCACATCCACTATAAGAAATAAATGAACATACCTACATCCTGTATTGTATTGTTTGTTGTTGTTGTTGTCTTTTTTCATGTTTACCAAAGGTATATGTAACCATATGTAACCTGATTCTATGTATTAATCACATAAATGTTGAACCGCTTTCACAGCAACAGGTGAATCAAAATCAATATCAAATGGACCATGAACATATTCAAAAGAACACTGTTTAATAACATACAAATATTAACAACAGCATTTTTAAAATTGAACCCTTATTAACATGTACCCAACTAGAAACACTTCTAAAACATTTAGTCTGAAATGTCCTTGAAACACAAATAAAATTGTATAAATTGTCACTGAATTGACAGTTTTTGAATGTAATGAATATTCCAGTTCACTTGCTTACAAAGAAAGCTGTTAAGGTGGTAGTTTAAAGTGGCTCGTACGAAAAATAAGTTTATTTAAGTGTTCTACGAGTATACATCTTTACAACTAAAAATAATGAAGCATACTTTACATCAGTCAACATTTTAAATACTTCTATACTAGTATAATTTCTTATATACTATAAATTGTAGTAGTATAATTATACTAATATACTTTGGCCTCTATTTATACTCAATCTTTTGATCGAGATATACTTAAATGTACAATTAAGTATTCAAACAATACTTGGCTGGTATTGCGTTAACTCTTTTGATCGAGTAGCCTATTAAATGTACTTTTTTACATAGTTTTTCATATACAGTTTTTACATTCTTCATTCTAATTCTGTGTATCTGAATTTTTGTGTAGGCTAGTCTACTGGTAGTGTAAGAATTTACTTTAATTGTACTTTATTCTTTCCCCACCACTGACTGAATTTTCCAGCTATCCATTTTTCCACTGTTACACGTAGGGGACGCTATGACATATATCTTCTAGTAAAGAATCTCAGGATCAAAACACTGGAGTAGAAGCTGATATAAGTGATAGAAGATTGCTCAATCAAATGTAAAGTAATGGTCATCAAACATTAAAAAGCGTGTATATCAAAACTGCCTAATATTTTCTAATGAAATGAAGCGTAACACACGAAGAGAAAACTTGCAAGTATACTTGCAATATAAAACTACTAAAATAGTAGTTTACTGAGAGTATACTAAAAGAGCAAAATAATATATAAATAGTAAACTATAAGTATGATGTTAAGTTCACTTAAAGAATTCTGTTTAAAACTACTAAACTAGTTTACTGAGAGTATACTTCAAAGTGTACTTTCATAAACTAAAAATGTGTTACAAGTATTAAAATAGTAAACTACTAAGTTCACTTGCAGTACAAATGAGAAACGTAATTATAGTTGTGCACTTAAAGTTACACAAATAATAAATTAAATGTATACTTTTATATACTAAAAGTGGGCCAATTTAGTCCCAAGCAGTATTAAAATAAGTTTACTACTACATAGTATACTCACTACATAATGTATACTTTAAAAATATACTTGAACATTACTTAAGTAAACTTCATAAAATGAACTTGAAGTATACTTCTTTTTCAAAAGGGAGATTAATTTGCAGAACAACTGTTAGTTGAGAAGGCCAAAACAACATCTAGGGTCATGGCATGACTGAAATTTGAGATTGTCGGCACAACACTGCAGTGTTATCAATCAATCAATCAGCAGTTGTTACTCTATGTTTATGTGCCATGTCTCCATGACAAAACTACCGCACCTGATGATGAGTCCTCAGAACGAAAGTACAATTGACACAAATATTTTAAATGGATGGGTGCAAAGAACAATTGACACTCTATTAAGAGTACAATGAACCATCAAGAAGAATCTGTGCAATCTATTCAAAAATATTTACATATAGCATAAAAAATAAGTCATCCGCTACTGTCAGATTGACTATCAGTGCAAGAATGTGATAACACAAGACCATTTTAGACATTCAACTATCTAAATATGCAGCCACATGTCAACTAACTCATTAATTTGCAGCGACATGCAAACTTTTCACAGTATTAGACTGTTAGGTTTGGGTTAGTAGAATAAGATGATGTCGGCCCAGATCAGACTCACATCTGGTACGCATTGAATCCACATGTACCAGATATGGCCCGAATCTAGGCCAACACTATGTTTCTGTCTTGGAGTTGACATGTAATTTACAGTCAGTAGAATGTCTGTTAGGGAGATTCAAAATAAATTTTGCAGATATTAAACAGACAGTCTACTAATACTCTAATGAGAGTTAGTTGATATGTAGTTGCAAAGTTACTTATAGTTAGTAGAATGTCTATAGCTGACTATTGAAGTAAAGTGTTAGCCCAAACTGGCAGTCATTTGAAATATTTTCCATCAAGGTAGAATCTTTACACTGTAAAAATAAAAGGTGCCTGGAGGAACCTTTTGGGGTTCTTCACTTTGCCACACCAGCGGAACCGTCTGTAGATCCTCTAGGCATCCTTTAAAAAAGGGGTGGTTCTCTGAGGAACCACACAGAGAACCCTAACCCTAACCCTTAATATCAATGAATAGAATACACAAACAAATAGTATAATACACAAGCAACATAAATAATCAACCATGTATAAACAATAGGCTATACAAGAAAAGACATCAACAAAATGCATGAAAACACATATGTTCCAATGTAAAAAAAAAAGTGCATCTTCACCTTAGTGAAGTTTAAGTCTGATGTCACTGTTTCCAAACCCAAAAGCTCTATCAGATGCCAAAAACAACAACAAACGGTGCTAATATACACTCATTGTGCTGTAATATACTGTACCTGAAAATGATGATACTAACTTTTATATCTATACCGAAATATCAGATTAGTTAGTTATTCAGCTATTTTGAATCGTAAGACATTGAAGCCAGGGATGCCGTCAGACTGGAGACTGTAATGAACACTATGGCTTTTGAAAAGCTTAAATGTGTAACTTGAATCAACAGGACTGTTGTTGAGTGTTCTCACTAGAAACAAGATAGATAGATAAAGGTGCCGTAAAATTATCTGTTGATCATTGAATTTTCACTGGTGAATTCCAGACATTTCAATAAGAATCCACACAATCAGCAGTTCAAAAATGTTACTATGAGACCAAGTTGGTCACTGAAAATTGGCTGGATTTGACTGACAGAAAGTTGCTTGTGACTCCTGTGTGAGATGTGCTTCATACACTGCTGACAATGGACAATGGAGTTTTTTGCCAGTGTAATTTCAAGAACTTCACAAATTTGGCCGCACCTTTACCTGCTGCAATATAAAATGCAATCAATAATAAAATCATTATAATAAAAAACCTTAAGGGACATGTGAGGTACTTAACGAGTAAAACAAGAAAAAAAAAGGTCCAAGCTTAATTTTCCGTTTGTTTTTCCGCTTTTCTGGTGAATGGTCCAGGCACTCAATGATTTTCAGATCAACAGGAGGTTAGCAGTGTTATTAAAGTCCCCGTGAAATCAAAATTGAACCTATTTACTTTGTTGGCGCATATTACTAGTCTTGTGGTAAACAATTAATCCGTGCAAGTGAATATATATTAAAAAAATGTTTTACCTTAGTAATCTTTAATCAAAATCTGAAAAGTTACTTCCGGTCTGGAACGGTTTCTTTTTCTGATGACGTAGGCTTCACAGTTTGGGTGGGGAAACGCTTAACCACTCCCCTCAAACCGTTAGTTTGCTATGAGCGAGAGATGGAGAGGAGGAGCGCTAGAGTAAAACCCTGCCCTCTGTTTTTTTTTTTTTTTTTTTTTATTGACAGCATTTGCAAATACAAACAACACATTGAAATACATACATAAATAAATAAATACATAAATAAATAGATAAATAATAAATAAAGTACATACATGAATAAATTATATCCAGAGGGGTCTGCAAAGTCCAGCAAGGCTAATCAACAAGCAGTCCAATTCATAGCATACCATATAGTTATGAGTTCCAATTTCATTCACTTACACATGTCACAAGTTTTGAGTATATCTGCACCGTCTTCAGAGCTTTACAGTTCTTTGAATATCTTATGGAGTCCAAGTATTCATTTACTTCACTCTCAAACACAGGAAAGAAGGGTTTAGAGCCCCTGAACTTACATTTATGGATGTGATATTTAGCGAGTAGAAATAAAAGATTAATAATGAAATACTTTCCTTCCTTGTCCGTCTTAAGGTCAACCACACCAAAGAAAACATCTTTAAAGCAAAATGAGAAATCCGTAACAAAAAAGGTTTGGATGAATTCAAGGACATCTGACCAAAATTTTTCTGTGCATGAGCATTTCCAAAATAAATGGCAAATATCTTCATCTGACCTTTTACAGAAAGAGCAATCAGATTCAATATCTGGTTTATACCGCTTAAGCACACACTTTACTGGGTAGAATCTGTGAATTAATTTAAACGTAACTTCTCTCACTTTATTGGTAAGCATATATTTAAAAGGCAAAGACCAAACGTTTTTCCAAGGGACATTCTCTACTAACCTGTTCCAATATGGGATTATATAAGGAATAGTAACAATTTCTTTTTGGTATAAAGCCCTAATAGATTTATTTTTTGTCACTGCAGAAAAGCATAATCTCCCTACAGCAGTATCAGATAAATCCATATTGTGAGTCAGTGGCCATGGGAAATTAATGCCTCCCAGCAACATTCTGATACCAGAGGGAATTGCATCAAAGACAATTGCATACTCCTTAAAAGAAACAGGAATTTGAAATTTCTGCAAGAACTCTGAATAACTGTACAGTCTGCCACTTGTGTCATAGAGTTGGCCAACAAGTACAATATTATTCCTGTACCAGTTTTCAAAAAATAAAGATTTGTTTTTGTAGAGAATGTCCTTATTATTCCAAATGTAATAACGATGAGGTGAGAAGTTATGTTTAAATAAGAGAGACCAAGCCAAAAGCATGTGTTTATGAAAATTGGACAGTTTGATTGGGATTTTGTTAATATTATAATTGCATAATAACATAAAATTTAGGCCACCGATTTTAGAGAAAATATAGTTTGGAATAAAGTTCCAGAGTGATGTTGGATTGTTAAGGAATTGTCTGAGCCAATTGATTTTGAAGGTATTGCTTAAAGTTGTGAAGTCCAAAAAATTTAAGCCCCCACCCTGATCTGTGTTCATTATTACAGACTTTTTGACATAATGAGTTTTGTTTTTCCACACGAAATTAAACAACATATCGTCAATTCTTTTCGATACCTTACAATCAACATCCAAAGAGGCCGCCAAATAAGCAAGTCTGGAGATTCCCTCCGCTTTTGTCAGTAATACTCTTCCTCTCAAGGATAAGTCTCTTTGTAGCCAAGAGTTTAACTTTTTTTTTGTTTTTTCAATGATTGG